ACCGGGAAATGTTGTTGCTATTTGTTTCCCTGCTGCTAATGTTGTTGTTGTTGTTGTTGCCTATTTCGCGGCGAAACCCCAATACCCCAACACACGCAGCTGCTGTTTATGAGTGTGAGTGTGTGAGTGTGCCATCTATGCACGTGAGAGTGTGTGCGCGTATCTGCTTTTTCCGTTTATGTTTATTCATTGAATTTATGACATTATCGTTGCCTACTTTGTGGCGCCCAGCTAACATACATTCATGAAAAGCCTGCAACGCGCACAATTCTGGCCAAAATAATAGCAGTTACTGCACATCGCATTTGTAAGTAATAAAGGACAATTTTATTTGGCAAAAAAAATATATATATGCATATATATATATAAATAATTAAATAATTAATTAATTAGTAATTCCTTGAAAATAAATATAGTAACGTTTCGAGATTTATTATTAATCTATTATTAACGAGTAATGATTTAACTACAGAAATCTGTATTCGGTGGTGAAAGAATAATTAATTAAGCTGCCAAATATTTGTTTCATCTTAAACATGTACACTAAATGTGGCCCCTAGAGAATTCGTTTTAATACTTTAAGAAACCTGTTTAATAAGTTTTAAGATAAATGGTGCCGTCTGAAGAGCCCCAGAATATATTATTTTATTATTTGTTTAAAATTTTGTTTAACATATTTTAATAATATGTAACATTGTTTTATTTTCTTAAAAACTAAAGTAGTATTCAAATTATTTTTCTGATATTTATTCATTTGTTTCAGTCATCTAAAATATTGTTTTTTGAATTTGGAAATTCGATTTTGAGCATAACTGTAAGTGTTTGTTGTGTGCGGTGCTAGTCTTTGGTGTTGGTGGACTTATGCGTGTGTGTGTGTGTATGTGTGTACTGAGCCTGCAGGCCAGGTAATTGCACTTGTGTTTTGCAATCACAGCCTTGCCTAGTTTGCCAGGCACTTTATGTTCAATACGCTGCTGGCGATAGATGCATGTGTACAGTAATTAGTCTTAGGTCATACTTTTTATATCAAAATATTAGGAAATATTTTAAAAAATGAAAAAGATCAAGATAAATTTTAATCTTTAATAAATTATAATATGCTTTAGAGTCTAAAGATTATAAAATTTTACAAAATGAAATGGAAAAGTGCCTTTATTTTTAGGAAAGCTGTTCTGTGTTAATTTAATAAGACAAGTGACCAAATAATAGATATTTACCGAAGATTTTTCATCTTATTCTACAATATTTACTATATATTTAATAAAATTCTCTTTAGTGCATTTGCACTGTAGTTTCATGCTGTTTTTGCATCTTGCAGCTTAATGGCGGCTGGCAAGCGTTTATTTACTTTATTATTGCATATTTGCATGCAGGCCCAAATGTGCGTGGTTTATGTGGGCGTGTGCGTGAGCCTGGACGATTGGGAATTGTCTGTTAACTGCCGCAGCAGCAAAGGGTAGGGGGTGTCTGTGTGTGTGTGTGCCCTGATGAGTGTAAGTGTGTGCGTGTGCTATTGGAGCGTGCTTCCGCAGATGCAACGCCTGCTCCTTGCCACCTCCTCCTACTGGCCACTGCCACTTGACTGCAGCCTTCGTCGCTCACCTGCTGCTGCTAATGCCGTGGCCATTATCAGCAGCCTCCAATAGCTCTGGTCAAGCGACAGGATTCACCCCCCAGGATTCCCCTGCTCGTGGGGCAGAGGACATCTTGTGGTCACAGCAGTGGGCAAACAGCAGCGATCCGCTGATTGGGCAGGTTGCCATTGCCAACAACGTCAATTACAGTTCGGCTTGAATGCAATTATAATTTAGCGTTAGCTAGTTCGGATTTTGATGTGCAGATATTAGGAATACACGGTAGTAATTATCCTTGGATATTGTTTAATCAAAGCTTAGCGAATAAAATCGATATATTTCTAAAAACAAACAGTAACTGAAATATACATAGAGCACTCCATAAAACACAAGGATTATTAAAACCCTTTAAAATGTGTCTAAATGTATTCATTAACTGGTCATTTGTTTTAGTTTTACGATGTAAAATGTTTAAACCAAGTTTAAACCAACACCTTTTTATAGGTTTTATTGGATTATGTTGTATTTAAGTAACTTATTATTTTTTTTTTAATAAGGAAATTTCACAGAGCAATTAAAATAATTATAATTATTTTAAACACTTTTGTTTCTATATTATTTATCCAAAATCCTAATCACCAGTGAAATGACAAATAAACCGAACGAACGCCCAATTAAGGGACTCATTTTGTAAGTGGGATTCAAGCTCCTAAACCACTTTAATAGACCGAAAACAAATTACTAAACAAAACATTTAGCGGCTTAATTAATAGGCATGCGGGGAAAACAAGTTTAAATTATTCATCGAGCCGAAACAACACTCGACGGCCAAAACACAACATAATTAGCGCATAAATTAGTCGCCACATACACACACACACTCCAGCACACCCGCACACCTATTAAATCGCAAATCAAATGGGAAAATCGCAGGGCGGCTTTAAAGTTTCGTTACATACTTTCTATTAAATGCATCTACTAATTTTCCCAGAGCTAATTAATCAGAATTCCTTCGTTTATTGTTGACTTAAATTCTGGGCGTGGCAGGTCCTCCGGCTACTTTGGCAACCACTGCGTATACTTAATGCAAAGCTCTTTCAGCGTATTAAACAATCGGTGGAACTTACTCACTTATTTGTCACCGAGGCTTGGCCACCACCACCAAAACCCGGACAAGTTATTTTAATTAAAAGCATTATTTCCGCATTGCCGGCACTCCCGCCGTCGTTTTATTTGTTTCCACTTATTAAATACTTTTCAAAATGGTCTCCAGCGTCGCCAGCGAGTCGCTGACCATGGCAGCCTGCGGCCGCTGTATTTAATAATAAAGCAGCCAAATCCGCAAATAAAGTGTAAATGATAAAAATTTTATTGAGAGAAATGGGTTCAGGAGCGAAAGCATTGCAAAAAAAGTAAAAATAAAAACAAAGTAAATCAACACGCACAGGACAAAAAAAAAAAGAGCAACAGCAAACAAAATCCTCGGAACTGTGAAATGACCTCAGCTTGGCACATTTTTAATTAAACTGCATTAAAATATATTGCCAATGTGTGTTGTTCGATATATGTATGTGTATAAATGCCATATATTTTATATTGAATTTTAGCAGTAAAAGAACACTTTTTAATTAATATGCCGCAAGTGACAGTCGGCGGATCACCAAGAAAACAATTTAACACAAACACGAAGCAAAAAGTGAACATTTTGAGGTTTTACAAAGACCATATACCCTAGAAAATCGATATAGTAATAACGCTTTCAGAATTAGTTTAAATTCGATAACTCAATAAAGTTCAAAGCACTTCAATCAGCCTCTGCAGCATCCCAAAGATGATAGAAAAGACCTCTCTATTCTAGTATTCCTCATAAAAGAGGCTTATATATTTGCCCAAGTATTAATTAATTTTCTGTAGCTCATTATCCCTCGCCTGATAAGCTCTGCTAAAGTTACGCAACCTATAAAAAAGTCCTAAGTGGAAGAGAATAAAGCGTTAAAATTATATCATCGGCGATTAATGCGCTTAATCGTGCGATTATCCGCATCAAAAGGCGTGCCCATGATAGAGCAGCTCCACCTCTGTCCAGTCCTGGCCCGGCAAGGACATCCTTGCACTGGCTGCGCATAAATTAGTCGCCTGACCGGGGAAACTTCCAAGTGGCTGGTCGGTCGAGTCAAGATGTCTACTAATTGCCATTTTACTGTCACATTTGCTTGGGGATTTACATGTGCATACAATTCACATTATCGTTTCAAGTTGGGCCGCCTGGCTAAGCCTTGGCCCGGCCTGGCTTGGGCCACGCCCCATCAGGACCCTCGAGCGGGCTCCACTCCGTGTGCATTTTATTAATAATTATCCTTCGGGGCCCAGGGCTGTGGGCTTATGCAAATTAGCGAACGGGCATTAAGTGCAGCTAGAGCTTCGGCAACCATTTGGAAAATTTAAAGTTGGAACCGGGTGGTGGGCACCAACCATGCTGGTTCTCAACTTAACTTCCGGCATAAATTTAGCTGGAAAGTGAAATTTATTCATGTTCTAAGAACAGGAAATTTGCAAACATTTTAGTTTTTGAAATGAGAGGATAAAAGCGAGAGTCAATTATGCATCCCTTTCGATAACTACGTGTAGTTTATAAATTACTTGAAAGCTTTTAATACAGTTTTGAACGTTTAAATTAATCAAACCGGAAAGTATGAGAAACTTTAGAGCAATTGGATAAGATTAACCTAAATCATAAAAAGAAATTTGACGTCCCAAAAGTATGTTAAGCGATCTTAAACATAGCTTAAAGAGTAACCTCAAAAATATGCTAGTTAAAATCTAAATAAAAACAAATTTAAGCATTTTAAACTGACAAATACAAGGCATACATACATAGCTCTCAAGCCGAATCAATAGACTTAATTTCTTCGGTATACGGCTCTCGTCTGGCAGCACAAAGTAGGAACTTTCCATGCAAACTATGCAATGCTTTATGCCCGACGCTCAGGATGCTGACTTGCTGAACCGGAGGCAAGTAAATTAACACTAATTACAACATAATAACTATAAAATCGCAGAGACAAGTGCTTGGGCAGACTCAACAGCTCATTGCCGGGCACTTGCCACTCAACACGGCTACGGCTACCGCTAAAACTACGAGTACGGCCGTGGAGTCGAGCCAAGTTCCAGCCATGGCTGGCCGCCTGCAGCGCCTGGAGAAAGGCAAGCAAAACAAAGTGCAAAACATGATTAAGAGTGAAATATTTATTTGCAGCACTTGGAGGCGCGCACCACGGCAGCGCCGACAATTAGAAGCGAACTACAAGTACCAGTCCGGAGTACTGACTCCTCCTCCTCATCCTCTTTCTACTTTTTTACCCCGTCGACATGGCTTAAGCATGTAAATGGCCACGAGGAGAAGCCAGCCCATGATTTAATAGCTTCTTTACATTGCCAGAGCACCAACAAGTGCACGACTTCTAAAAGCTTAGTTTAATCGTATTACGGGTAAGTTGCGATCCTATAAAATCAGAGTTAAGATACTAAAATGCTTTTAAGACTAAATGCGAACTTAAATCTAGTATTCCTCCTCCTCGTCAAAGCCGTAGCCAAACTCGTCGTCATCGTCCCCGCCGCCCTTGTTAAGCATATCTTGGAGAGTGGCCTCGGTCTCTGCCTCGGGTTCGGCGTCAGCCTCCTCCGCTTCCGCCTCGACATCTTCGTCCAGGTCATCTGCTAAGTAAAGGAACGGAATGAGCATCATTGGCGATTTAAATCGTAAAGTGTGGACCTACCTCCTTCCAATACCACTGCCGGCTTGACATCTTCATCAACCGGCTGACTAACTGGTAGACCCGCCTCCACTTTGGGCCGTTTCCTGCTAGGTCCAGGCAGATCGTAAGCTGGCCTAAAGCGACCCTTTTTCGTGGCAATGGGACCCTCTTCCACGATCGCTGGCTGCTGCTTCAGATCTTCTAGGGTGCTGGGCTTTGTATCCGTGCTGGAAGCAGGCGATTCACCCGTCAGCCCACCAATGCCCTCTGTCAATGTCTTGAGAATCTCGTATTAATCTTGCTGGAGATCTTTTTCTCCTGCAGCATCTTCTCGATGGCCTCTCCAGGCGTGGACGACGGACCGATGATCTTCTTGCGGGGCTTTCGCTTTTTCTTCTCCGGTTTGCCCTCTTCCCGCTCCTTGGCCAGCCGTTCGTCACGTTCCTTCTGCTCCTGCAGATACTCAGCGTTGAGGTTCTTCCACAGGTCGAGCTTGGACAGCGCCTCCTCTTCCGTTAACACATACTGATCCAGTTCATCGTCGTTAAGGTCATCGATGAACAGCTCTGTTTCTGCGGGCTGCTTGGCCTTTTCCACATCCTCCAAGTCACTTTGCGTTACTCGACAAATAGCCTCGATATCGGGACGCAGACCTTCAATGCCCGCCATCAAACCACCTTGTTCTGTCTTTTTCACATCCTCGTTGCTAGCTATCAGGTCCTTAATGACCTCGGCATTGGACTGTTCGATAAACTGCCTGGACTCCTCCATCTCGAGTTCGTTCTCGGAGACGCTCTTGGGTGTGCTTGGAGAGGAGGCTTGCGTCGTGTCTCCCTTTCCCTGAGTCAGTTGACGGATCACGCTGCTAGAATACTTGCCCAAGTCCTTTTCCAGGTGAGCATCGATTTCCTTCTGCAGTTCCGTGAGCTCATGTTCACCCATCTAAGGAATATAAAGGGTTAAAGAATTATTAAACTCAACAAGAAGACTTAAATAAGACAAGTCTAGAAATTCAAATCTGACTCGTTAGGGCTTTGACCTATTTTTTTGCGAGGGGCCAACTCACACGTTTTACCAATTTTAAAACAGGTTAATTGAGGTTACACTCTCAAGTAAAATACTTAACATAACAATATGCATAGGCAATTATCATATTATTACTCACATCTTTGATCCTCTCACGATCCTTTTTGCGTGCCGCCTTAAATGATGGCGGATCCTGTTCACGCTCCAGGTCAACGGTCATGAACTCCTCCAATGTCAAGCCACCAGAAGGCGTCTCGGCAAACTCGGAGAGGCGCTTGCGGAGCGTGGACTCGTGTATCTTGACCACACCTATCACGTCCACCAGAGTGCGACTAAAATCGTGCATGCGAGCAGCAATCAGCAGAGCTTTTTGTTTTTTCGAGGTAAAAAATGATTTCCTTTAGTTACTATGTCATAACTCTGACTTTAGCGGTTCACTCACCTGCTCCACAGAGGCCGGTGGGTCGTCGTCCCGAGTGCATGCAGTCCTTCTTCATGCGCTGCACAATCCTCAGAGCCGTCATGGACACCTCGTGTGTCTTGGGGCCCAACTGCAGGCGATTGGCGAAGCGCATAATGTACAAGCACGGATCTAAAAATAAATAAATAAAATAAAACAATAAACAAGGAAATGAGATATATAATAATTTAACCGGTAAGTGTCAAGTTAAAAACTAAGGAAACCATAGCTTGAAATACTCTTGATTGTTTATCGGAAATCGTAGAGTTCGTTATCAGTTAGCAGTTTAATATTAATCGAATTAAAGCGAACATTAAAAAAAAAGAAACAATTAAGAGCAGATTTGTTACGATTGTCCCTCACATATAAGCCACTAAACAATAAATTTGATGTTCTTGCTAATCAATAATCTCTATCTTCTTAAAGGTATTATCTTTCCGACAACTCTTGGCATGAATGCTTATCGAGAGGAAAAGTCCAATATGATTTATCGATATATAAAATTTCACTCAATAATATCAGAATTTTAAATACAAAATATCGATTCATTATCAAACAAAAATTATACAAATTTTGTTTATTTATATGTATTTTTTACTGATTATATTCAATGCAGCATTAACGTTAAATTTTTATAACCTGAAACTAAAATTAGGCACATTCCGATATATTAAGAAAATATCGTTTTGTCACACAGTTATCGAAGTATCGATGTATCTATATTTTGTGTCATACTTAATAAAGAAGAGCTTTATAACAAATTATCTAAAAGGAATTTTAGTCAATATATAATTAATTTGCAAACTCCCTGGCCAACTGACAATACCCCTTATCATCGCCTTAGGGTATTACCAATAAAATCAAAATATTTCAATAAAATTAACAGACTGCAAGAGCATCAGCCGAAGAACTTGTTCGACGACCTTGAAGTCGGCTCGAATCGGTCTAGCCAATGAAACCGAAAACATTCAATAACCGGCCCGGGGCCCACGTCTCAGCTGCCGAAATAAACAATCTTGAACCCGAACTTCAGGTCCGATATTATTCAATTCATTCAACTTTTACATGGCAATGAGAGAGAGAGAGACCGAGAGAGAGACAGGTGTTAAGAGAGGGTTAACAGCCGAGAGACAAGAGAGCCGAAGTAGTTTTTCTAGCATGCGATACATTTTACACTCGCATCACGCATACGTCACGTAGTCCGCGCGAAAAAAGGTTTCGACCATTCATTTGGCCCATTAAACCAATAATTAGGTATATTTGAACTAGATGAAAGATAGAGCCAACCAGCCAAGGAAACCCACAAGCTAGCCAATGCAATTAACACTCAGCCCAGTCGTCGTCGTCGTCGTTGTTTCGTCGAAAAACTAAAAACAAAGGCAAAACACAAACAACCATTAACGCACCACAAACAAATACGCCTCGAAAAAACAGTGCGAAACGCATTGGAAAATCAAAACCAGCGGGTACTCGACCTTGCCAAAGATATTTGCCAGGCATTTCAGCATTTTTTGGAGTTTACAAATTGGTCTGGGAAATACAATGTCTTACCCACAATTTCTTTGGCTTTCCGTAGGCTGAATGGATGGTCACTTGAATTATACAATTACAATTTTACATAATTATATGAATAATAGCTTTATAACCGCTAAACCATATCGGATATAATCATTTATATAATTGTTAGAAAACAATAATTCATATGCCAGACTTGAGTAAAACTTACATCATGTATCATAAAGCGTAAGGTATACTCTTTTTATTTGCCATAAACAAATAATAACTAGATTTTTAGTGTGGCTTAAAGAGTATAACACAATAAGTTGTAAAACTATACACATATTTAACTAGCAATTAGGTTCTTTGGAAATACATCCATAAAGATTTAATGGTAGAGATTAGTAACAAAAGAAAAGAGTCATAATTTGTAGACAAAATTCTACAAATAATATAATATTTTAGATATTATTAAATTTAAGTTAAATACTTTTTCTATATTAATAGTTAAAATCCTTTTACAGATGTGTGCACACATTTTTCAGTCACCAAAATCATTAATTTTGTCTACAATTTTGTTGTAATATTCATCTTATACCCTTGCAGGGCACATTAGCCCAGGTCTTATTGCTAAATCTGCCGCCCTTCCACCGGATCCAACCGAGTCGGTTGTTTATGCAGCGCCACTTGACACACAAAGGCAGATGCTGTTAAGCGTCAACCCCTGGCACTGCACTGGCCGGGGATGAGGATGCTTGTCAAAGTCTCGCTAACTGTACTCCACGAAAAACAACAGCAAAAAAGCAGAAAGAACTCCGTAAAAAAGGGAGCAAAAAAATTATTTATTAAACCCTAATGAATGCGCACATTTGTGGAGGCCCAGCAGCAGCTCCTCCTGCTGCTGAAGTGTTCCACTTGAAAAATGAAGCCGCTGCTGCGGCAGTGACTGCGAACTGCGATTGGAAACTGTGACTGCATTGACCCTTCAGACCGGCGCCCACTCATCCGGCACAGCTGTTACTCGAGCTAACTGTTCCAGCTGCACTGGGAAATATAACTTTTATAGTATTACCTTAGTTCCCTTGCCAAAACATGGCTTAAAGTCTATATAATATGATGCGGAAGAAATGAAATTCAAAGATTACAAGATGGAAACTGGAAAGATTATCCAACAGATTCTAGAATTTCTTCGAGTGCTACTGCTACTTGACAGTTGCCAGCACGGCTGCTGCTAATGGTTTCTTAATGTCACCCCGGAAGCCCCTCTTTTAGCAGAGAACCGCCTTCGTCCTCCTGCAACTGCAACTGCAACTGCGGCTAGTGAAATGATTATTATTTAAACTTTATTTTTGCGTTTGTCATGACAGCAATTATCATTTCGGGTGCGGTCTACCCCTTCGGCCCTTGTTCCCCCCGTCCTGCCTCTGCCTCTGATTACTTCGCATTTTGGTGGAAAAATGCCAGCAATTTGGGTTCGAGTTTCCCTTCCACACCAGCAATTAACTGTGCTTTGCTGCTGCTACTGCTGCTACTTTAATTGTTTCGTAATTGACCAAGAACGCGCGATAAATGAGGAAATGCAATCTGAGGAAATGTCTCGTTCGAGAGTCGTGTCAACAGAAGCTGAAGCATAAAAATTGGTTAGCACCACCCCAGTGTATATACATATATAGTGTAAAGTTAAACAAAAATCAAATCGTGGTCAAGCATATCGCATGCAATAAAAACGCAGCCGATTGTCGATCGTCGCACAGTGGCGCTTCTAGAACAAAAACAGGTTTAAAAATCAAAAAATGTATAGTTATCTTTTTAAACCCTATATCTATATCAATTGCAATCAAAAAATTACAGTATTTTTTTTTTTTTGTAGAAGATATGAACACTCAAAGTTGAATTTTTCTTTCGCACTTTGCAACATCCGAGAAAAAACTGTAAATTTCTTGACTTTCAGTTGATATTACACAAAAATTGATTACCTATCGTCGTTTTTCAATTATTATTATTTATTATCATTAACTACGTTTATCTTTTCTGAATCAGAATCACAATGAACCAATTCGGGGTAATGTTAATGTTTGTGTATTTATTCTCTGAGGCTAGTAAAGTCTTGAAAAGATATATAATCAAGTGTTTATAGTCCATAAATGCTTGATCTATTAGAAATTTCCTTAATATAGGTTTAATTGTAGTAATAAGTAATGCTAGAAAAACTTTAGGAAATATGTAAAATAAAACTGTGTTTTGTAAAATATGTTTTTTAAGCTTTCAAATTCAAAAATAAATTAAGAACGGTGATTTTTTTTCACTATGATACCCTAAAAAAATAAATATAAAGTGTAGGCGTGGCACATTGTTCAAAACATGTATAAATTTTATAACAATTACCTGTCTAATGCCTCTTAAATTGTTCGATTATCCTATTTGCTTCAACAGATATGATTTTTGCAACGTAAAATGAGTAAAGGCGCTACTGTGCGTCGATCGTTAGTCGATCGGGTCGTTGCGGGTCTCAAGTCTCAAGTTGCCGTTTCGAGTCTCATTCGAAAAATTCGTATCTCTCACAACGAATTCGTTCGTTGACTCGCGCAGTCGCAGAGTCTCAGCTCGAAAAAATTAAGTAAAGACATCCAAAAAATAAAAACGTGGCCGGTCGTCGCGCCTGCGCAAACCACAAAAAAAAAAAAAACACAGAAAAGAGGAAGCTGTGTGGAACAAGTCCCTCTTAACGAATATAAGAAACCTATTTCATCAGGGCTGTCCGCCCAACAAATTACAAAAAAGTGTGTATATTTTTCTGATTGCTTGTTAAAGTAATAATAATAATCGTTGACAAAGTGCGCGTAGCTCGTTTGTTTGTTCTTCTGTTGACGTTTTAATTTATGTGCACTTTTTTGTGTGTGTGTTGTGGTTTTATTTTTTGCACTCACACACCCAACACACTCAGCTGACGACTGGCTTTGGGATGCCGGTTGAGCGTGTTAAAAAAAAGAGCTAAGAAAATTGCTGGGAGTGAAGTGCAAATATAACATCATAAAAAAAGCCCCAAAAATTCCATTTCGATAATTATTTCCTATCCTCTCTTGTCTGGAATATTCTCTCACCTTACGCCACTAATTTCTGCGGTTAATTAATTGTCCAAACACTGTGCTTAACCCATTAAGAGCTTTGTAATAAATCAATTGAATTTCGCTAACAATTAAATGTGCCAAAGTGCTGCCACCTCACAGAGAACCAACCCATTGAAGTGATTTAATGACTGACTTAATGATCTTAATCTTAATGATTGTCCGACGCCTCGGTGTAAAGATCTCAATCAGGGCTCAAAACTCTCTTATCACCCAGTGGAATAATAAGTCTCGCCGTGTAATTATACATTAGATGCACTCTTCCCCATTAATTGTCATGCATTTGGCTGTAATTTACTGCTCATAACTATGGTTTTGTGTTCGAAAGGTGCTGTTTTTAATGACGGCCCTCCTATTCCCCACTCTCAGTGTTTGCCACTCGATGAAGCCTCCACAGAGACTGAAGTTCCCGGCATTTACTGTCAGCCAAGAGATGAACAAAGATCGCTCATTTCATAGTTAGTTCCATACAAGTGCTTGTTTGTATTTCAAAACCAAGTAAACTTTGGCTAAAAAATTCAATAAAAAAGGTGAGACCCCTCCCCAAACTGTCGATACAAAACAAAGCACAACAGGAATTTGTATTCCCATTCTGGATATTCGCATTTGGAATTCCACTCAAGAATCGCGCCATTTGCCGGCATGAATATTTTAAATTTTAAGCAACTCGATGACGGGAGATTATTAAGCACAAAAACTTTAACTTTAACTTGCACAAAATGGCAAAGAAAACAGGTTTCTACTGAAACCGAAACACAGTCATAAATTGGAAAAGAAAAAAAGAAGAACCAATATGTCACAATAACCAAAGAAACAGAATTAGAATTCAGCAAATCATCAAGGGGATTTTTCTGAACCAAAAGAATTGAATGCAAAACAAAACAAACCACGGACTGTACAAATCCAACGAAAAAACTAATGTTAATTCGTCGAGTCATTAGACAAATGCAACCATGACTTACCAAATAATCCCAAGAAATATGAAAAGTGAGTGAGAAAAACTGCATGTTAATGCATATAAAATTATCCGCTAAATTAAAGCGTCTAAAGCCAAAGACTGGCTCAAAAGCCGATAGACTGAAAGACCAAAGACGTAGACAGGTCTGAATAATTGCGAAACAACCTAAGGGCACTCGAAGCGAGGTCCAAACTCATATGGAAAAGCCTCACTCGACGGCACTCTGACAAAAAATGGAACTCAGACTCAGACTTTTCAGGGGGTCGAGAATTAGACACTGTGGTTCAGAAATGCCACTAGACTTTAAGCTGGCTGGCCCTAAACTATAGTCAAAACGTGTATAAAGTAACTAGTAATATTTTCTGAATAATATTGTGACACACTCTTTTCGGAATACAATTAAAATTCTTCCAGGGAATATATTTAAAAGTTTGTGTGGAAAATTTGTCAAGTACGTTTAGCGGAAAATTTATAAAGCTAGAAGTAACTTGTTTTAAATTTAGCTTACAATAAGCAATGGTTGTACTATTAAGTAATTCCTAGACTATTTTAATTGTTACAACTTAAAGGTATTTGTATTAGCATTTGATATTCAATAGTTACAATAAAGTAAATACAGGCGACCTATATTTTTGTTGAAGTATTAAGAATCCATGATACTTTTGCGGCATACATTCCAATCTTGTTATTTTGGGTTAATCTTAAGCGAAACGACCTTCAACAGACTACAAGCTACTGTCAATTTTTTAAAGAGGCAATTTTGTAACTCGAAACTGATACTTCGTTCCTTGAAGCCCTTATCAGATTACAAAGTTGGCCACAAAAAAGAGCAAAAACAAAGTTAACAAAAAAAAATGGCAAGACAAAGGCAAAACAAAAATGTAAAATAAAAATCGGACAATTAAAGTGCAAAATCGGCAAATCAACAGGCTCATTTGGCGAACTACTTGACCGGTTGACGGATCGAGGGTTCGAGAGCTTCGAGAGGTTGCTGTTTTTTTGTAAATATATATATAATATATATAATATATTGGCCACGTTAGCAAGTCTGTGAGGGGGCTTCAGGGGTCAATTGCTTTCCTGTCTTTGATTGTATCAACAGAAACATATATTTAAATTGTGGAAAGGCAGAAAAAAGCACTGAACTTTATGATAAATACAAAATTAATTTCCTATAATTTTCTTATAGAATATAATCTTTTTTTCTGGTAATTACTCTGGGGGGTTAATTGCTTTATGACACCTTTTGGGTTAATCAGCTAAATGCGTGGCGATTGCAAAATGCAACAAAAAGGAGCTCGTTAAAAAGGGCCACGAAATAATGAGAAAACAAAAGAGCCAAGAGCCAAGACCCAAGACAGTAACTGCAAGAAAAAAGAGACAACTCTTCACTTATTTTTTTGGTGTTGTGTCTTCGGTTTGCTGTGTGTGATCTTGGGTGTATTGTGTTGGTTGTGATTTATTTTTATTTTTATTTTTCTGTGTTTTGTTTTCTTGGCGAGCGAGCAGCGTGTAATGAGGAAATAAAATCGAAAGTGTTACGCGGGCGTTGCTTTGGGGTCTCCCCTTTACCACCTTTTTTCTTCTGGCCAAGTGTGACCCGAGACTTTGGCCAAAAGTGGGTCGCCACCATTCGCAATTAAAGAGGCAATGAAAAATGAAGATGAAAAATGAAATAAACTCCCCCGAGAGGGACCCCCGAGCCGAGTAAAAACAACCGGCCGGTGGAAAACAACAGAAAAGCAGCGAATCAAATTAAGAAAAGGGCAACCCAAGAGTTAATGCAAGCGGCAAATTCGAACTGCGACTTAATGAAAATAAGTCTTACTACGAATAACAACAGACCTGAAAACATGGAAATTCAACGAATTGCACAAAGTACGAAAATACAAAATAACGAAAATACTGCAAACTGAACTCAGAATGTGCAGGGAAAACAACAAGAGAGAACCACAGCTTATGAATAATAAACGTGACTCGATTGTTAAGCCATGAAATTAATTTAGCATAAATAGTATGCGTGTGTTTTGCATATGGCAGCAAAAGAGGGGACGAAGGGGGGTAATGAGCAAAACGGCAGGGGTTCATGGAAAAAGTGCAATAACCCGCCTAGAACAAGTCCATCAATTAAAACTTTAATATCAAATAAACATATTTAAAGGGAGTTATTTAGGTGTAGTTTTTTAACTATTTGAGGTGTAAATTAAATTAAAAGTTGAGAGCACTTCTGAAGAGATATTTACAATAAAACCAAGTAAATCATTTCTGATATAGATATGTGTAACACTTATTCCAAGTACAGATTCCTCAAATAGAGTTTGTTTTAGAGGTTTAATTTGTACTTTGAATTGCTACTTTTGGTTTAAAGATTTGCGCTAAGAAGTGGGTTTTGTTTTCTTTTACAAGATTTAATCTTAAATATGAAGTTATATAAAATAAATATAAAGTTATATGAATTGTTGTTAGGTCATTCGAATCCTTATACAATAAAAAACACCGAAGATAAAATAAACCTCAGCAAAGGAATCTTCAAAAGATGTTCCTAGTTTATTTATAATTTATAACCCATATAAAATTTAAGCAATTTTAAACGCAGTTGGCAAATTACCAACCTTTATTACACTTAAAATAAATGCTAAAAATTACTAATTTACAAAAGCAACCACCAAGTTTTGGTTTATTCCATGTTGCGTAATATTAACTAATGAAAACAATTCACTCTGTGGAATCTTCCATTGTATATAATATATATAATATATCATCACTTTTTTCGACGTCTTTTCGACTTAATCACGTCAAAGGTGAATCGTGCTAATGCCTGCCACAGATCCAAGTTCTCCACAGGTAATCGAAGCATGAAGAACTTCATTTGAGGCGCCGACAACAAATTGCTTTGTTTATTTGGGGGCGTGGCCGTGTCAGGTGGAGATATATATATATAGCACAAAAATCGACACCACCAACAGACTTGTTGATTGTTGGAAAGACAAGACGCCAATGACGAGTCGAAAATGTAAGGCGAGAGACACTCTCTCGGAGCGAAGACTTATGTTCATGTCTGTCGCCGTTTTGTTTTGGTTACGGACTTCGCGGTGCTGCCAATTAAAAATAGCCGCTTGCATAATTTCCGCTGCCAGAGAGTCAGGTGCAAAAGGTACCCAGAGAGTGCGACTTGGCTTCGTTCTCCAGCTGACCCAAAAAAAGTATTAAGCCAAAAATTGGGCGAGGGGCATCCGACTTAATTCCACTTCCTGAAGCTAATAAAATGCGACAAATGCGTGCGAGCTGAAGTTGGAAATGAAAATGGTAGTGGAAGTGTAAGTTTAAGTGGGAAACGGAGAAGTGAAAGTGCATCAACAGCATTTGGCAATTTTTCAAACGAGAGGCGGCGGGCAGAAATTGAAATTGATTCCAAATTGTATCATTTATATCCATAAAAATAAGATTATGTTACATGTACCTGAAATTACAATTGCGGTCAGACGGATAGGAGTGCCTTGCTCTTACCGTTTTTGCGGTCTATCGCTCACATATGACATAATGAATAATATCAATTAACTAAAAGAATTCCCTTCCGTTTCTACCAATTCATGAATAGTAAATGTGTCTTTTATTTACGTGTTGCAGAATAAGGTACTGGAAGTTATGTGAAGATGATCTCGCCCCTGTCGTCTAAAAGATGATCGAGGCCTTTGCGAATCATTTGAGCAGCCATTTGGGACGCCACCTATTCTATTGGGCCATCGAATCGAGCAGCATCGGAAGTTCGGGTAACTACGGCCTCAACCTGCGGCTTTCCGAGCTGATCAACAAATTCCACGGCCCCCTCGAGCGGGGCGTGCAGGTGCTGGACCACCTGTTGACCCTCGAGGAGGACGACTTTGCCGGCCATTGGGGCAGCGCCTATGCGCACAACTATGAGCCGGAGTACGCCGCTCGAGTGCCGGAGAACGAGGAGCTGCCACCGCCAGAACAGAGTAAGGATAACTAAGTTATTTCGTATAATTTATTAAGTAAGTCTGACCTACATTTATAAGCTTCATTTAGGCTCGAAATTGATAACGAATGTTCCAGATGGGCGACTTTATCATTGGTTGGGGGAGGAGGGGTGGACGATGATGAGTCAAAAATTAGCTTAGGCAAAGGTCAACAACATTTTTTACTTTTCGGCACACATCTTCGATCTGCTGCCGGCTGCTGCCACTGCAGAAACTGGTTTTACTGTACACGAATGTGCTAAGAGATAAATAAACCTTGGACAAGTGAGTGAGCGAGTGAGCTGGCTCGATCGCTGTCCAAGCAAACACATCAAAATCGATTTCAAGTTCAGCGTTTTGTTTCTTCATATTAAATATGTATGCGCCGGGTACAGTCAATAAATAATAGACCAAATACGATTCGAGCATGCAAATGCCAACAGCCTTGCCCGATCGAATAAAAAGAGATAGAAATGTGAATATCCAAGGGAATATATAAAATCTGAATCGATTTCTATCAGTTATAACCAAATTCTAAACATATTTTCATTTGTTTGATTGTTTAAATTTATCAATTTTCTTGAAATATTTTCCCCCGGTGTACAATAAGTCTTGAATCGGCCCTATTTGCTCCCACACGTACGCCTTTTAATGGCGCGCCATGACGGAAATACCTATTAGCATCGAGTGACCATGATATAATCCAAATGGCTTGCGAAACCCAAAGCAGACGTATATCTCAGCTAATTCAAATTCAAAACACGCGCCTACAGCGCATGTTAATCAACACTACCGTCTAGGGTGACCATATCTCACTGAAATGTTATCGTTATCGCTGCTAACCCAGCTCTGTTAAGTCTCTTCTCGAGAACAAGAGTTGGCAGCCCTTCCCTGTTATCGGAACAAGAACAAATCAAACAAACCGTAAAAAAAAAAACACGAAAACAAAGCGCAGTTCGGAAAAGTAAAATGGAGGGCGTTAAAATGGTTAATTGAATGCAAATGTTTAAACAGCCAGTGCTTGGAGCTACAGCCCGACCCTCGCGTTAAAAGTAGTTAGCTGCCTTTTCCGTAGAATCGTGAATTACGACGATGGCCAGCAGCAGCAGCAGCAGTAATAATTCCTCGGCCAACAATCACGGCGGCAATAGCAATAATCCCCTGAACAGATTATCGCTAAAATCCGCTGGAAAACGAAACCAGGAGAGCATGTCGCATTCCCAGCCAAATGGCGGATGGATCAATGGTAAGGGGCGAGCAGGCCATCCCGAGGAAAAACCAAGGGGAGCACTGGCCCGTGGAAAAGGGCGGAAGACAAAGAAAGAGGCAGCACGACGGCAGGTGCCGTCGCCGCCGTGTGTGTCTGTGAGTTATTGATTTTTCACACAACTCAAAGCCAGGCGGCCAGGCAGTGTCACCAGGGGGAGAAAAGGGAGGCGGAGAGATGGGGCGTCGAAAGGGGGGTTGTGTCTGGCAACAAAAACAACAGCAGCGACAGAATGCGTTGCTATTTTGAGACGCTCCACTTTTAGTTTACAGTGAAACCAGGAAATGTCACTCATAACTATTTGGAATTGTAATAATATTAATTATTAAATATAGCCTTCATTTTACGGAAAAACGCATTAAGATTTAAACTAATATCAATTTAAAATTAAAATAAAGTTAAATTTCTAGATTTCATTACCATTGTTTAAGCTAGAATTGTTCAAAATATATATTCACAGAATGTATAAGTTTAATTTTTATAGCCAAGTCAAGAAAGCTTTAGGTATTTGTTAATTAAGCACTGCGACTCTCGATGACACACAAATAATGAACTGAGGGTCAACTGCAATTAATTTGCATTTTCAAAGGCAGATGTATAGAAAATTAAGTGGGGAAAAACTATGCATGCATAAAATGCAAGTAGTAGCCGCAATCTGAAGACACAAAGGTATTTTCAGCTTTATTAATTGTTTTTTATTAATAATATATACCCTGATAAATACACTGTTAATATTTCCAATGTTCACCCAACTTATAGAAGCTCCACTGTAGTTTTGGGGCAAAATAATTGTGGAAAAAAGGGGAGACCCTGGCATTCGTTATTTACGATGCACACGCAGCGGAAGTTGCACAAATGTGGCCACGCGTGCTGCTGATTCTGAACGAGCTGGGTGGGAATAATCAGCCTAGAGACTATAACCCATATAACCCAAAAAATATTTAATCGTTTATTCCCTTTAATCCACAGTGGAAACACTCAACAATGGCAACGGGCTGCTCCATTCACCGCCCCACAATCACCAGCAGCAACAGCAGCAGCAGCGGGGCGGAGGAGGAGTCTCTCCGCCTGGCGGTGCCTCTGCTGGAGCGGATCACAATATACAGATAACGCAGCCCATAAGTGCTCCATCCTCACCTCTGGCCTCGCCGGGCGCCCTAAACAACAGCAGCAGCAGCAGCGGCGGTGGTGGGGGCAGTGGCGGAGGGATCTCTGGCAGTCCCACAGCCTTCTGTCTGCCTTCCAGTTCCGCGGCAGCTGCTGCGGTGGCTGCTCTTTCGGCAACACCCACTAGCGGCAGTGGATCGTACGTGTGCTCCGCTGGAACCAATTGGCATTTCGCGGCTGTGGCGGCATCCAATGCCATTGATACGGCGGATCCGAACTGGCAGGCCAGCAAGGCGACGGTTCTGGAGAGGAACGCGGCCATGTTTAACAACGAGCTGATGTCCGACGTCAAGTTCGTTGTAGGCGGGGAGTTCGGTAACTAATCCATTCTCTCAAATCAACTATAGAATCTAATCTCTTATTTGCTCCCACGAAACAACAGACATTGATCCCATTCAGACTATACCCGCCCACAAATACATTCTCGCCACGGGCAGCTCCGTCTTCTATGCCATGTTCTATGGCGGATTGGCGGAGAACAAGCAGGAAATCAAAGTGCCTGACGTCGAACCCACTGCCTTCTTAACATTGCTAAGGTAATCCACATTTAAGGCCCTAGATTTTACAAGTGATGCTCATCAGAATCTGGTTTTATAGGTACCTCTATTGTGATGAAATCAAACTGAACCTGAGCACATCCTAGCCACTCTCTATGCGGCCAAGAAGTACATAGTGCCACATCTGGCCAGGGCCTGCGTCAACTATCTGGAGGTGAAGTTGACGGCAAAAAACGCCTGCCTACTTCTCAGTCAATCGCGTCTGTTCGAGGAGCCCGAACTGATGCAGCGTTGCTGGGAAGTGATCGACGCACAGGCCGAGATGGCGGTTAAGTCTGAGGACTTTGTGGACATTGACCTCAAGACCTTCGAGTCGATCCTCTCGCGGGAGACGCTTAACTGCAAGGAGATACACCTGTTCGAGGCGGCTCTCAATTGGGCTCTGAATGCCTGCGAGAAGATGACCATCGACGATACGCCACAGAATAAGCGCAGGCTGCTGGGACAGGCCCTGCACCTCATCCGCATACCCACTATGTCGCTGGAAGAGTTTGCAAATGGTGTGGCCCAGACTGGCATCCTCTCGTCACAGGAAACGATCGACATGTTCCTGCACTTCACCGCCAAGGTTAAGCCCTCCTTGGGCTTTCCTACGCGCTCGAGAGCGGGCCTGAAGACGCAGGTCTGCCATCGCTTTCAGTCATGCGCCTACCGCTCGAACCAGTGGCGATACCGCGGACGCTGTGATTCCATTCAGTTCTCCGTGGACCGTAGGTAAGAGGAGAATGTCTTGCATCTAATCATAATCTTAATGTCAAATGTCTTCCCCACAGAATCTTCATTGTGGGCTTTGGTTTGTATGGCTCATCGACTGGCGCCGCCAACTATAACGTCAAAATCGAACTGAAGCGTCTGGGACGCACCCTCGCCGAGAACGACACCAAATTCTTCTCGGACGGTTCAAGCAACACTTTCCACGTGTTCTTCGAGAACCCCATTCAAATCGAGCCCGAGTGCTACTACACCGCTTCTGTAATACTGGACGGCAACGAGCTAAGCTTCTTCGGCCAGGAAGGCATGTCGGAGGTGCTCATGGGCAATGTGACGTTCCAGTTCCAGTGCTCGTCGGAAAGCACCAACGGCACTGGCGTACAGGGCGGACAAATCCCCGAACTGATCTTCTATGGACCCACCACAATGACGGCTATGAGTTCGCCTACAAATTCACTGTGTGCAACGCCAATCGGAGGAGCAGGAGGATCAGCCGCAGCAGCAACTGCAGCAGCTGGAACTGCTACATCCAATGGCAGCCATTTAACTAGCAACAATGTCAACGGTTCTGGGGAAGATCTGGCCGCGGAGGGCAGCACCTGATGCGCACAGCTCTACTGCGCCGAGTGGCAGGGAGCCTGCTACTATCGCCAGCAGCCGCAACAGCAGCAACAATCGAGGAGACCAATACAGCTACAAAATCGAAACTCATGGGTTTTCAGTGCAACACAAGCAAGCAAATTGGAGTTTTAGACGAAGTTATAGACCGTATATACAGATATAGACATATACGACGATAGTAGAGTGCTCTAGTTTTCATAATAGTCCTATATATAGTCATACATATATATACACCTCGAGACGGTGCGTTTCATAGCTTTGGCACGGCTGTGAGAGCGAGATCATGTCAAGAAAGTCACTCGATGTAAGGAACTATTTAACGTTCCCTTCGTTATAGCCAATAGCACGTTAAGCCAGTCAAGTTTGCAACCGTTCTACAGTTGTGAAACGCACTGTACACAGTTTGTTGGCAAAATGCATACAAAAGATATTTTCAAAATCGAAACAAGTTGAATATATATACACCCATAACTTTATACATACATAGGTGCAGATTTAGTAGTTGACTCGAAAAACTTAATACGTTCCGTACGACTTGAGAGGGGTGGGAATAGGGGGTAAGAGAAATCGGCGCTATATAGAAACGCACAGACATCGTAAATGTAAATGCAATAAGCAGTGAATTCGGGGCAATCAGTCAAGCTAGCGTTAACCAATATTCTAAAGAGAAAGAGTTAAAGGGAGGAACTAATCGATATATACATAGCAAACATATTTTTTGCCAGCATATATACACACACATCTGATCTGATAACGATATATACACCTACCTATACCTACTATTCAAGGGATAATAAGCCATGTTAAGAATTGCATACGACGAATTTGAAAGCCAAGTTAACCAGTTTACGTAATAAGTGAATCAAAAGTAACGCCCGAGTATGCGAAAATATTATCTAATTATATTCGAACATAGGTCCTGTAGTGTCTCCATTTCGTAGTTGTTCCATTATAACTCTCTTACATACATAACACGCCTTTCTACTGACATTAAGCCCCGTACTTAACTCCTATATGCATTATATTCTGGGCTGCTCAGCGCAACAATCAGTTTATGTTACGACATTATGGAATTCTTTTGGAAATTGTACTGATTTTTTGCTTTTTATAAGAATGTCTCCTACAATTACCGTTTTTTTATATACATTTATAATAAATAAAGCAAATGTTATCCTATATTGATTATGAATCTATTACCAATTATGTACTTTAATCAATCAAAATACATTATTAGATTTTCCGAATTTACAATTTTGAGCCTTGAAATATATTTGAAGGTATGTGGGAGGTATGCATTTAAATATCTTTATGTTTCTACAGTATCGATATTAAGAGCACAAGTCGGTATATAAAACGGTATTCAAACGCCGGGTTTTATGTGTTCTAAATCGATATTCTGTGTAACATATCAAAACAAGCGAATTTTTTCGGAATTTATAACTTCGATATATGAAAGGTTACGATATTTTCGATAAAATCTGCTAAGTAGACTCACAATAAAAAGAACTGTAAATGCCAGATATCATCCAAATTTAACTTAATAATTACAATTACCAAACATAAACTCAACCTTATTGTGCACAAGGACATAAGCAAATTTAAAACTCGAATCTAAACTCTACAAATCCGATGCCTTCATATGCAACACACGAAGCTGATTATTCTTGAAGAAGAATACTAGGGAAATAGCACTATATGGTGTAAAAACCATTCCCACTACTCACCCACAGATGGTATGTTGATGCAAAGAGCATGCGATAGCTTCAAGTAGGTGCGGCCTAATTCATAAGAGCAAATCTGTTGAACGTCACTGATGTCGATGAGGAGATCTTCGGGGGAAGTAAAGGGATTAGATAGACACTCCACATAGTTAGATACAGCACTTACGGGAGGTGCCCTCTGTCCTGCAGGTCATATAGACGCAGGCAGCGTAGATGTGGGTGCTCTTGCGGCCGCGAGTCAGGTGCCTACTTAAGGCCATTTTAAAGAAATTTAGAGCTGTGTCGGCGTAGTGCTGCGAGAGTTGCAGCTGCTGGCAGAGCAATGTAATGTCTTTTTTGGCCTTCTTAATGGTCACCTCGCGGGACTCGGTGCCTGAGCCCACCTGGAACTTGCCATAGCCATAATTGGTGGCTCCGCCAGACGACTCGGCCGAGACAAACTGGCCGATTGCGGCAGCTCCATGACCAACTTCCTCGAACTGGACTTCGGAAACGATGAGTGAATCCTCAAGCACCGAACCGCAGTTCATGCACACTGCAAGAGGAGGGATTTGGTAAAGTAACCCAGCATGTGGATCAATCTATAACTTACCTCGATCTCCGCGAGCATTATCTTCCTCGATCTCGTTGGATCCACAATTGCGACATTTTAAGCCCGTCGACATGCTGGCTGGATTCCTTCGATTTTCCTTAGTTTAACTCCTTAAGAACCGAGGTTTCCCGTGTTATATTGGGATAGAGGCTTACGCACAACTTGTTGACTGTCAACTCACAGCATTTTAGACGCTGTTTTTTAAACAATTCGCAAATTAAGGCAAATTGAAATCAACACGCTCGCAGCACAGCTGACGGGATAGCGTTGAGGCATTTTCCAACACTGTCGCTAGAGCTAACAAAATGCGCTAGAGATGTGTATTGTGCTTCCGTAAAATATGCACGTCGGCTTGTATACACCACAGATAAGGTTTGTTAGATGATTTTACAAACTAAATAAGACGAAGTAAATCGTTTTTATTAGGCAATAAATCTTAAAGAAAGTTTTTTAGATTTTGAGTTTTTTTAATATATTTGTACGTACAGTGTCTGGACCTACCCATCACTAGAATGTACAGTATTGAATAGCCGGCAAATTTAGAAGGTGGCGCAGTTGGCCACTAAATATTTTGGAATTTTAAAACTGAACTTAATAGAATAGTAGAACTTAATAAATAATGCAGTAAATCTAAAATGCTATATCAACACTTCAGATATAGCGTAATATTAGATAAAAATAAAGTTCTGGTTCTTTACAAGATCCGTTTAACTGTGACGTCACTCAACTCTCTTGCAAAAACCACCTTACTTCTTTCGAAACTGCGCAAACGAAATAAACAAGTCAAGTCGGCATAGAATTTTCCAAAAGTCATTTAAAGGAAATAAAGCTTTTTTAAAATACAAAATGGGCGATGCCGACAGAATAATGAACGATACTGAAGCCGCCAAGCCAACAGTCGGGATCCAGGTAATTAATGCCGAGGAAGTGCCCACCATTGAGGAGATAATCACCATCGATCCGGACTGCTACGAGCTGGATCTGAATCATCGCCGCATCGAGAAGCTGGAAAACTTTGAGCCTTTGACGCGGATCGAGCGCTTGTTCTGCGCTGGAACCTGATCAAGAAGATTGAAAACCTGTCCTCCATGACATCCCTCTTAGAGCTGGAGCTGTACGACAACCAGATCACAAAGATCGAGAACCTCGATGACTTGGTCAACCTGGAGCTGCTGGACCTCAGTTTCAATCGCCTGACCAAGATTGAGAACCTCGACAAGCTCGTCAAGCTGGACAAGATCTACTTTGTGGCGAACCGCATTACTGTTATCGAGAATCTGGGGATGCTGACCAATCTTACCATGCTGGAGCTGGGCGATAACAAGTTGAAGAAGATCGAAAACATTGAGATGTTGGTCAATCTTCGGCAGCTCTTCCTTGGCAAGAACAAGATAGCTAAGATCGAGAACCTTGACGCGCTGGTCAACCTGGAAATACTCAGTCTGCAGGCTAATCGAATTGTAAAGATCGAAAACCTGGAAAAGCTTGCAAACCTCCGGGAGCTCTACATATCCGAGAATGGAATTGAAACGATTGAAAACCTCTCAGAGAACAAGAAGCTGGAGACCCTCGATCTGGCCAAGAACCGATTGAAGGGCATTGCCAATCTAGAGAACCTCGAGCTGCTCGAGGAGCTCTGGCTAAATCACAACGGCGTGGATGACTGGAAGAACATCGAGGTGCTGAAAGTGAACAAGGCTCTACAGACCATATACCTGGAGTACAATCCACTGGCCAAGGATATTCGCTATCGTCCAAGCTGCGCGACATCCTGCCACAACTGCAGAAAATCGATGCCACCCTGTGCACGATGCCCGGATCCCACTAAGATAAATACCTCCTCACTGTAACCCCTTTTGAAAGACTAATCCAAGGCGTACCGCCAAAATAATATAAACTTTGCAAACTTCCGTTTAAAATATACACAAAAATTAACCAATTTAATTTGATTACTTGTATTACGGGAACTTTTAAATTAATAATAGATATATTTAAAACCTAGCCAATTTGGGTTCACCTTAACCTTAACGTACATATATTATTTTCCTGCAAATTGGTTCCTTATTTTGATTGTACAAAGTCAATGCCCATGACTGGAAATCACACAGCTTAACTGATAAGTGGCAGCGCGCACGCTTTGTCTCCTTAATAATTTTTGTGCAATGCGTTGAAACAATGAAAATTCATTTCGAAAACATTGGGGCGTCACTGGTTTGCTCCATGATAAGTTATTTCACAGCTTAACGGCATAATAATCAGAAGCGCTGACCTGGTGGGGACCTCCATAGAAGTCCAGCACATATATATTTTTAATATCCAAGGCGCACAGGTAGAATGTGTGAGCTATAAATTGAAAATAGAAAGGCAAAATCGATTTATAATATACTACATTCTATAAATTCTGTTGTACTAACCAGCTAACCAGTGCACGGCTGCTGGATGACGCTTTGTAAAAGCATTTAGAGCGGGTTGATAGTTGGTACCGTTGGGATCCAGCTAATGTATAAAGAAGATATAACATTTAGTAGTCATCACATGATTTATTTCTCATGTTTCTCACCTTTATTACTTGGCCACTGAGCATGGCTCGGGCACAGGTGGGTTCCATGGGATCCTTGCCATTGGCCTTACACCTCAAAGTCTGTTCGTCGGTGAACATGAAAGTCACTTTATTATCCTTCTGCCAGTCTGGCCCCGTGAAATCCAGATCGGTCAGCAGGAAGTGCACCAAGCCCGTGGAGTTTCCATTGGAATCGCTATCATCTATGGAAACAATGTTGACCATTGGGTAATTTTCCACGGCTTTGTTGGTGGAGATGCTGCCCAAGGCAGCCCATGATGCACGATGGACCAAATCCCTTGCTATCTTGGCGTGATTTAGTGCTTCTTGTCTCTTTAATTCCCGAATAATTCTGAGATCCTCCCTGGGGGAGTAAGAGCAGCTAGAGTCTGGACCGAGAAAGGCCAACACCAAGGTCAGCAAGAGAGATGTAAACGTTTTCATGGTTAAACTGAAAGTATACATGTACAGATTGGGAGGATTATTATAGGATTCTGGAGAACTCATATAAGATAAGTTAGGTTTTTAAATTATAGGATAATGGATGGACACTGTGATTTCTGGATAACAAGGCAGCAAAACAAAGGCCCACATTCGCACTGACCTTTTGCGCATTTATGTTTTTTGTCCCACTACGCTCTGGCCTGCACGTAGCTTATGAATGTATATATATTTCCTACCTGGAGAACCACTCACCTTATCGCTGTGCTTCTGCTTTGGAAATTGTTTATAAACTGACTGGCGAAAATGGTGTCTTTTGTTATCACCTCTCTCGGGTACAAAGAGCTGGGAACAGCTGTTTGAGCTGCTACCTCGGGATTGAGTCATTGGCTAGGGTATACACCTTAATATATGTAGACTTTGGATAACTCACAAAGGGCCATGCTTATTTAATGGATCCTGACTAATATGAACACTCATATATCCTTATAATGCGTTTATATTTAGACCGGTTCGCACCTCATTTATCCGAGTTTCAATGATATGGCAATTCCCTGACTCAATCATTTTTGTGCAAAGACGGTAGTGTTTACCTCATGGATAAGCATATTTAAAGCCTAACGAATTAACAATATAAACCTTGGCATCGACATCAATATAAGATATATTCGAGGGTACAAACCGATCGGTGATCACATTACTGCTCACAAAGCATTGCCAGCTTGAAAAAAATTGAAACCAGACTTAAGAGACCGTATTCTTTTTAACGTATTTTAACATTTGTTTTCCTTTTATTTCTCAAATATTTATGGGTATGCTTAAATATGTTTTCACTTTAGGAATATCATTATATTTTGACTTGATTCGCGTTTACCATATAACTTGTACATTTCACTTTCATTTAACTTGACCTCGTTTAACATTTATTGTTTGTATTTGCGAATTTGGCTCGAAATTGCGCCAAATTCTGGTTCTGCCACCTTTTTCTGGTTTTGTTTTATTTATTTATTTTAATTATATATTTTTTTTCGGGAGTGTTGTGTTCATAAACCTAGCGTGCGAATATATTCAGTTTAACATTTATTTGTATTTTTGTTACATTTACGTTTTCATTTTTGTACCGTTGGAAATATACGTTTTGTTTATTTCGTTTTATTAGACTTTTTATTATTATTTTTTGTTGTAATTAAATTACTTTTGCCAGTTTAGTTTACCCTGCCGCATACAGTTTGTTTGAAAAATATATGTACATACTATGCATATCCCATGGAGTCTGAAATAAATACGTACGTATAGTATCTCGAGTGTTTGGTTGGCTCTTTTCTTTTCATTTTTCTCAAAAAATAGATGTGTAAAAGTTGTGTAAATATGTTTGTTTGGATGCACAACAGTTAAAGTTAGCTTCGTTGATTTATTGATTCAAGATTTGTTTAAAGTTTAAAGCCCATTTGCGTTGCATTGCAGCGGAGAGTAGCTCGAAATTGTATCCTTCTTCTCTGTTTTGTGTTTCAAGACATGTAGTCCATGATATAAAACTAAATAAGTTGTTTCTTGAGCTGATTAAATGACAGATCGGCCTTAAAGTTACTAAAAAGGTGTCTTCAACAAAATGCATTTACGTATACAATATTTTAAACATAATTAAAACATTTTATTTTAAACAAACTTCCGTTGTCAAAACACATTTCCTCCCTTTATCATTGTCAATCCAATCTTCCCTAGAAGAGCAACAACTATGAGTCCATGTTATCTCTAAATATCTTTTCCGCTTATCAGTTATGTGCCATTATGCGATATTAATTTACTCTTAACTTGGTTTACTCTCCATGCAAACATATATATCGTTGATTATGGTTATGGTAACTAAATGCCTTGAAATAATTAAAATATTCATTCAAATTAGTTACAGACACACGACAACGCACATGAATTATACGACATTATCTTTCCCTAGTGCAAATGGCTGCAGTTGATTATTTTTGTGGTTAATTTTTGCTTAGACTAACATATAAAATGCCGATCTTTTTGGGGCGCCACAAAAAAACATAAATTTACAATTTCTTTTTTTTAACAAATTACACACAGTTTAATACTTGATGCTTAGTTTTTCTTTGCGCTTGCTTATACAAAATACGTCTACGATTTATGTGTATACAGATTAATAATTTCTTAACCACTCTTTAGTTTTTTGTTTTTGTTTTCAAACAATTCCTTGGCGCTTGCGTATTTTTGTGTAGTTTTGAACATTGGATTTAGCTTTCTCTATGACCAAACATTGAACAGAAGGTTTAAAGCTTTCAATACACTTTCGTTTCGATTCGCGTTTCATTTTTATTTCTCTTTTTCTGACTAGCTTTTCGAAGCATAAGTTAAATTAGAACCTAAATTGTGGACTCTGGACTGGACATGAACACAGAAAGAAAAAGCAAATCGGGGCAGTTTTTAATACGCGGGACATTGGTATAACGTGTTAAAGCCATCATTTTGTCAGCCAACGCACTCCAGTCGGTGTCAAGGGGGTGAAACCACTCAAGAAAAGGTTTACAAATTAATATTTTAATAATCCTACAAATTGAGTAGGATGAACTAAACTAGGGGAACACTACAGGTTAAATATAATCTCGAAACACTAGTCGGTTTTCAGGTTTTAAGATTATTGTGTGTATACACTTTAACTTTTCCAAAGAAACTAATATTCTTGTTTTCAGTTTGTCGCTTTTTAAATTAATTAAACGATAATCAGATGGTGAATTTGCGTTTTCGTCTTGAGTTTAGTTTGTAATATCTATTTGAACTTAAACTCGAAACTTGAAACGGATTAAAAAAACATATTATTTATAATTATAAAATTAATGTAAATCATAAAAAAATTTGGGATTAATATAATAATAAAATATTACTTAAATATATTTAAAAAACTGTTTCAATACAAAAGTTCAAGTAGTAGCACCTAACCAATGAAGTTTCCCCCCTAGAGGATTGGGTTGAAGGATTTGTGGGGACAGGATCTCTCGCCCGTTAGCTGAGATCGCACCGTTAGCGTCGGTCGCCGCTCCTGGAGGATCCTCCACCAGATGCTCCACCTGCTGCAGCTCCCCCACCACCTGCAGCACCACCACCGGGCGCCTGGCTCACCGCCTGCAGCTCGTACTGATAGTAGCAGTCGCTGCCCACGTAGACGGTGCGCCAGACGCCGTCCACATCTCACATTTGGCGGTATGGCGAGTGCATCTTAAGCCACTGTAGCACCAGGGACGGTCCGCCCGCCTGGATCTCCGGCGGAATCGTGCTCAACGGGCACTTGTCAATGTTTAGATACTTGAGGTTCTGGCACAGGGCCAGCTCAAACGGCAGCTTCTCCAAGCCGGGATTCTGGTTAATGTACAGATTCTCCAGACTCTCCAGCGACCCAATCTCCTCGGGCAGGAACTGCAGGTTGTTTTCGCTAACAGACAGGTGAGTCAGGTTGCCCAGGTGGCCGATGCTGCGCGGTAGCATTGTGATCTGATTGGTCTGCAGGATAAGTCGCTGCAGCTCGTGCAACAGACCGATTTCGTGTGGCAGTACCTCGATGCGGTTCTCCTCCAGGTCCAGGATCCTCAGCCTTCTTAGGTTCCCAATCGTGTTCGGTATCTTTTTGAGCATATTGTTGGACAGGATGAGTATCTCGAGGTTCTGCAGGTTCATGATGTCATCGGGCAGCTTCTGGAGCGCATTGGTGGCCAGGTTAAGCTCCACCATGTTCACCCAGGTACCGATATCCAGGGGCAGAGCAGTCAGCATATTCTCCTTCATGTTCAGTTTAGTGAGGCCCTTGGCCCGCGAGAAAATTCCGTAGGGGATCTTATCGATCCGATTGTGCTCTAGGTTGATGCTATAAACGTTGGTGAACTGCGCTGGTCCGCCAGTCGGGTAGCTAGTGAACTGATTTCGCGACAGGGTTATGGTGGTTAGTCCGCTCAAGCTGGCCAACATGCCGTCCGGGAGCTGAGTGATGCCATTGCCCTCCACATTGAACTCGTCCATGCTCTTGCAGTTCTTCAGGGTAGCCGGCACACTGCTCAACCGATTGTACCTCATGCCCAGGCGCACCAGGGACTTAAGGTTTCCGATGCTATCGGGTATGTCCAGCAGCTCGTTGTGCTGCAGATCCAGGGAGCGGAGGTTCACACAGTTTCCAATGTCCTCCGGCAGGTGCTCCAGGTGATTGTGCGACACGTCCAGCGTGGTGAGGTTCACCAGCGCTCCCATGGCACTGCCCAGCTCCCGGATTTTGTTCTCCCGGAGACTCAGCATGGTCAGATTGACCAGCTGGCCCAGGTCATCCGCCACAGTGGTGATGCGATTAAAGCGCAGGTAGAGAGTGGTCAGACTGCGCAGTCGATAGATCACGGGGGGTATCTCTGCCAGCTTGTTGTGCCGCAGATCCAGTACCTTTAGCTGGCTGCAATTTTGCAGCGACTCCGGAAGCGAGGTCAGTGAGTTCTCGTTTAGAGCCAGGTTGCGTAAGCTCACTAGGCATCCAATCTCCGGCGGCAATTGCCCGATCTTGTTGCTGTACAGGTACAACTCCGTAAGATGGATGCACTCCTTCACTGTGCTGGGGATAACAGTGATCGAGGAGTTACTCAGGTCCAAGCGCTTGATGCCTGCGAGAAAATATTTGAATGCCACGTTAGATAGTTAATTCGTTTTAAGTTGAGTTACTTGCCTTCATCTCGGCATCTCTGCAGCGCCTTGATGACGTCCTGGTCCGCCTGGATGGGCTTGCTCTTCTTGGTGGTGGGCTTGGGCTTGTTAGACTCCGGATGCTTGACGGTCACCATCTTGGGTCGCGTCTCGGGCGGCATGGTTGCGTTGTTTTCGTTGTTTAGCTGGCTGTGTTTGTTGCTGCCAGTCGGCTGTTGGCCACCACCTGTGGCTGCACTCGTTCCTCCTGCCCCTCCGTTGGCCGGGCTATTCGCGTTTGTCAACTCCTCTGAAACAGAGCTTCCACCGACTCCGCCAAAGCAGTGTGTGGCCTCCGAGGGACCTGTGTCGCCGCCGCCGCTGGCACTGCCACCTCTGCCTCCGCCTCCACCTTCTCCTTCGCCACCGATACCTCCGCCGCTTCCGGCACCTCCTCCTGGGACTCCTCCGCTCCTCTCCGCCTGGCCCGTGGACGATAACGATGTGGTCGATGCCGTTGCGCCCGAGGAACACAAGTTCATAATTTTGCCCAGCTTTGCGGTCGGCGGCGACAATGCGTTGCCCAGAAGTGTGCCCAAGCAACAGCAGCAGCAGCCGTAGCCGGAGGAACTCGTTGCTCTACCCTGTGCACAGGAAAAAAGAGTTTGTTAGAAACATTCTTTAAAGTTTTATTTAAAAATCTTCTATATTTGTGAAATATTTTTAAATTGTACTTCCTGAAAGAACTTTAGTTATACCTAGTTTTTGTTTTCTTTGAGAATACTGCGAATATCAAACTAATCCTTGCTTTGGATTCTTTTCTGTGTACAATCAAAGAAAAAGGAAATCCCGGGATGAATACTCGCCTCATTTATGGCTGCACTTTATCAATTGTGCGTCAGCCGGGCGGCAATCATGTATCGTGCGTCATCGTCATGGTTGTCCCACCCAATCCTTCTCCTCATTCCCACCAACCCCACTCCCCTTCCACATACAGACCGGCTTTATTACTTTTGCTTTTGTTTGTCAGTCGCCGTCGCTCCTTATTAACCAGTTGACCATAAAGTTTTCAAAAACCCTACACGCAAATCAATAAGCATTCCAGCAATGACGTCAAAATAAGGCAAACAAATAACTTGTAGATGGATTTTGTTTCTCGACTCATTAAAAAAATTTATATTTTTAGGACATTTTAAAAGACAAGTTAAAGAAGTTATAAAACTAGCCAGATATAAAGTTATGCTAAATTATAACACACTGCACAGAGAAGAAACTTTACAACTATAAAATTCATATTTCTAAAATACATATTTTCCTTTAAATTATTCTGAGTAAAGGAATTTATTGTATTTGTTTTTTGGGTTGATAAAAACGAATGAAGTTTCCTTCAATCAAATTAAATATTAATGAATGCAAAGTGAATGCTTTGCCCTTGCCAGGGTTATACTTTAAAAGCTGTCAATGCCGCGGGGTACGTGAAGGAATCGCCCACCACCCCTTATCCACCCACGACACACACACGGAGGAATGCTCCTCCTGGTATTTTAACGGCAAATGTCAAGGTCAGTGAAAGCGGGTGTCAGACGATTCCTGGAAAAGGAAGCTCGAGCAGCCAATGTCAAAGCCAAAGGTTGAAAGTGCACCGCAATTTACCGTTACGAGACCAACCCCTTGAAATACCGGACGTCGCGTAACCCGAACTTTATTGTTATTCAAAGCCAACAAATTTGTGAGACACGCTTCTCAAATTTCATGAATTTTAGCATATGCGAACAATATGCACATTGAGGCCAATTAAATGGTCGCTCAAGTGGAAGGTGCACGGGGAAATGTAGTAAATTATATGATAATATATTATAAAATAAAGAATTATTTATGAGAATAAGAACTTCAAGTTTGAAATATAGGTAGTAGTAACATACCATTTATATTTAAGATTTAATAAACTATTTACAAATTTAAAATCGGAAGCTAACAAATTCCACTTGCATACATTTAAATACATTTTTTAGGCTTTTAAAACGCCTATTGATTTCTGAAAAACAGTATATAATTTAATAATTTATTATTAAGATTTAAGGTTTACTATTATGGTTTGATTAGGATCTAATCAAATTGAAGAGCATTAATATCTAATTCTTTAACATAATTTAAATGGAAACGGGTGTGTTGATTTTATGCTACACCTGATAGCAAAAGAAGTTTGATAACGTAATATAAGAATAATATAATAGTCCGACCATATAACGATATTCTGATTAAAGTGAATACCTCCGCTGGTATTTAATTGAAAACAAAAATATCTTCTCCCAGATTTTTGAAAAACAAATCCTACCAAATTTCCTTGCAGTTAATTTAAAACAAACTTATATAAAACATATGCACAAATACTTTTTCCCCGTGTAGGGGATCTCGTTCGCCCGATCGGGTAATGCAAGGGGAATTGTACGCAGCTTACGATAAAGACCCCGGAATGATAGATAGAGAGGCGGTCGTCGTCCCGGGGTACTGACAGTTCTCTGATTCATGGTAAATTTCCACTTCTTTGATTGCCACTGCATCGCGGACTCTGCTCTATTGTTGCCATTATTGTTGTTGTTGTTGGATTCTCGCCTCGTTTTGTGGGCGGGGAACCAAACACAAATCGGCACACGAACACTTATGCTAAAGTATTTGCAGAAACAAACACGAACACACACACATCTTGGAGATTAACGCAGAGATAACTGCACAGGATGTTGCATTGTCCTTGCGTACTTACTTATTTCACTTGACACGCCATTAATATAATATCAAATATTCTTTGTCTTGGTTTGTTCTTTTCCGATCAGACCACCCGCACGCACTATTGTTATTATTCAATTTGCACACACATCTTTTTTGTTGTTCTGCACCGATAACAATGTTGATAACAAACCTAGAGATGACACTTGCATACGTGCCAGCAGTCACTGTTTTTTTACGAAAGTGGTGACTGCACTTTATTTTGTTTTTTTGTGAAAATAACTATTTTTCTTGTGTGTTCTTAAATATTTCTGTTCGTATAAGAACATTTAAATCCATTTTTACAACACTGTTTGGTAATGCAAATATCGATATACACTGGATGTTGGTTGTACTTCTTGCAGTTAACTTATCGATTATTTTTGGGCGCGCAGTTTAAAAGTTATTGTAAAATGTAAGTAATTATTAAATTAAACAGTGTAATCCACTTTTTTATGAGTTAAATTGATTTCAACCCTTTAAATGACCTATGGCAAGTATACTATTTAATAAAAATATAACAAATATGTTTTAATGAATTTTCTCCTGTTAAGATGTATTATGGTAAAGTTTAGATTGTACAAAATATTGCTGTAAATACATTTATTATTTAATAATTAATCTACACTCTCCTGGTATATCAACATAGTGCCGCAAATCGCATTGAGCTTTGAGGAGAGCTTTTACACAAAAGCTTTGGTGTGTTTTTGTCGTAATGTATACAATTTAAGGAATAGCACATATTTCTTTGGAAATGTGAAACACCTTTTTTTATTTTCTAAGGAAAGCTAATTAAATATTTATTTATATTTAAGAAAAACGCAATGTGCACTTGTCAACAATAGTAAATAAAATAAAAACTTTACTACCACTTTTTATACACACGCGAGTAAACAACAAACAACGCCAAATTGTATGCAACAAAATGTGACAAATACACACACCAACACACATTCACGCACACACACTCGGCGAGCGCACACAACCGAATGTTATACATAATTTATGATACGCAGTTGGCTGACATGCAATGCAGACATTTATTGAGTCCCCCTGCTTCAACCACAATTAAGCAACAATTTTTGTCAGCAACAATAACCAACCTGTTATTGAATCACTGGGGGAGAAAACTTAGCAGCCTTCAGCTCTCACAAGACCGGAGTATCCCGAGAATTATTATATTCCTTGTGCTGCTCCTGCTGCCTGCCCAAACAATTTTTCACTTGCGCCAATCTGCGGCACTTTCGCGTATTTTCCTTTGTATACTTTTTCTTGGCACTTTTTCCCAGCACGTTTTTGGGCTTCCCTTCGCGCTATTTAACTGATTTAAAAAATTTGTTTCTTGTTTTAGATTTTTTCTATTTGTTTTAAAATGTAAATTGAGTTGTACAAAAAAGGAAAGCTTTGCTGGGGGAAAACGGAGAAGAAATTGGCGATTTTCGTTCGCGGAGGTGACGTGACGCGTGCCTAGAGATTAAGTCTGAGAGTCCAGAGAGTATGTATTGTGGTATATCCTGGCCCGTTCACCTTCGCATGCGGCTATTCGCGCCACACGTTGCGTATACGACGCGTGCGCACTGCGCCACTTGCGTCCTCTGGCGACGGCCAGCATTTCGTCTAGCCTCCGCCACCAGCCGCTAGATGGTCAGCCTATCGAGGTCGTCGTTGGTGATAAACTCACAGGCTCTCTCAGCTATTATGCGATAATCTAAAATTTAAGCAATAAAAATATTTTCTTGAGTAATTTTTCACAAAAACAAAGGATATAAGAATAAATACATAATGTGTTGTCTTGCTAATGTCAAGAAGTGAAGGCTAAAGTAAAGTACTTGTTTAACTGCTCATTTAGAACACCTCAAAGGCAGAACTCACCCTTTTGGTACTTGCAGTTGTACATTCGCAACACACAAGTACTGGCAAAGGTACGCAGGCATCCGTCTAGGACATCCAGGGCACACACTACCCGGTAACCCATGGGACACACATCATGGCACTTCTTGGACGCTGGAACACACGAGAGCCCAACGATTTCATACACAATATTTGTACACATTTTCGAATTTTCAATTACTTACCTGTACCTGTCAACGAAAATAATAAGTGACCCTGGACTCCGAACCCAACACAGATCCCTAGAAACAGACAAATAAGGAAAATTTTCTCGCCCAATGTGCAGGCTATTCGCATTTTTGCTAGGCAACCGTACGCGTTCTTTCCAAATTTCGTATTAAAATTTTATTCCAGAAAAGTTTTTGGGCTCCGACAAAAACAGTGTTAACCGTATATTTTGTGTTGTCAATTGTGTCAATATTTGTACAATTTTTATTAATAATATTCAGCTGCTTCTCCTGCGGCCGGGTATATTTTCACCCTAAAGTCTGCACTCCTCCGAATCGCGTGGGCATCGACCTGTCAAATGTTTCTTCCACTCTGCAGAAATAATTGGTCGTGAATAATGGTTAATAATTAAATACATTTTCATGGCTTACCTTCCCGTTTCTGACAGGCGTGAAGATACATCTCGCAAGGATTTCTGTAGGTGCAATAGATCATCCTGCCATTTCGCAGCGTTCTTCCGCACAGATATTCGACGGCAGGTCTGCACGTGGTAGTGCAGTTCTGAGACTCTGTAACTCCTAGATAGGCAATCAAAATAGCCAGAAGAATCAACTTCATTTTGGGAAGAGGTCAGTGGAACTGTCTCCAGCTGCTGCCTTAATTATGTTTTATATATGATCAGATTTAGGCCAGCCAGCGAACTCATTTTTCAAGCATATTGTCAATCAGAAACAAAGGGTAGCATTCTAGTAATGATCTATATACATTTCCACGTGTTACTACGTCATGGAATCTACATTAAAAATACTCAATTTAAAGTATAGCTGCAGTAAAACAAATAAAACAGAACATGCCTTGAGATATTTATTCAGGGTACTACATATACATATATTTCAATTAAAGTGTACTTTTAGGCCTTACTAAATGATACTGGAGTTATTTTAATTAAGTTTCTTGGATACATGTTTATTTAATATAATTTCATAAATAATTGTAAAATAATGAATTTGAAAAGTAACTTGTACTTTTGTAGGATTTAGGAAAGGAAATTTAATTTTTAAACGGAATCAAAAGTACAAAGCTGAAATATAACAACATATTATTAAAAGCTTATGAAATATTATTAACATTTATTGAGCTATGGCTGTTACTTATCCTACAGCTTAGTTTATATTTAAGTATACAGTTTTCATTTATTTGTATTGTGTGTATTCTATTTATTGTAGTCCCAAATAATAATACAAATAAATATTAAAATATCCAGTTATATTTTAATGTTACTTGCAACTATTAACGTACCTGAATCGGTTTCAATTCTGGTACATTTATCACTTATTCAACATAAAAGATCATAAAATATTAATCATGGTACGGATCTGGAGATTCTTCAGAGCTTTAACAAAAATAATTACATTTTATTTTTAGTGTTTTAAATTTCTATTTAAATCCGTTTTGTTCGTAAAGTCTTTGTATATTAACAAGGTCCGACCCCTGGTTCACCAACATAAGCTTAAAATATACAAAATTTTATAAATGTATATTAATAATTATTAATACTTTTGTTAAATTGATTACACTTAAAAGTTTTCTTTCGTATTAATTTGGTAATATTTAAATTATTTAAAATGTACTTACCATCTGCATTTAGACAGGCGTATTGATCTGCATGGCAACGGGTTCGAAATGTGACTCGGCGATCTGTTCTTACCCCTTGAAAGTCCAAAGAGAAAAATGAGGCACAAACTGGTGAATCTCATGAAGGACAACAAGCCGGGCAGTATTTCATGCACTTTTCCTGCGTTGTTTCAGTCAAAACTACACGGGGAGTGGAAATATCCATATTTTCAGTTTGGAATACATTTGAATAATAACTTTGCAAATATTTACCTTTTAAGCACTGGTTTTGTCTATGGCAGTTGTGGGATCCAAAGATACACGGGCTTTGAAAAACGCGGCAAACCTTGTCCGATATGGTCCAGATAAGATTTTTGGCATAGGGATCGCAATTACATTAATTACATTACATTAATTGAAGATTACAGGTACCAGAACAATCTCTAGGCAAGGATTCGCCAAGCTGAAAAAACCCACGAAGTAGAGCTAGAGAAGAGAAGTAGAGTTTTTCTGTTATAATTTCTAGTTTATATGACGGAATTTTGCTTAGAATATTATTAAAATCGGAAAACTATATCAGTTTTATAGAAACGATCGGTAAATGTTCAGACATTTATAACTATATTAAAGATAAATGACATAAAATTTGGCATTTCAATATAGAATGATTATTTTATATAATTGTTATTTCTGGTGACAGTTCTTCTTTATAAGAGATTTTTCCTAGCTGGCTTGAGGTAAACAGAAAACTACTTTAGTTACTTTTTTCCATATACTCAGGGCATCTATCTCAACACAAGAACAATATTTATAATTTTATAAAAAGAATTAAAAAGCAAAACAAAAATTAACACAATTTACGTTTGAATTGGAGTTTGTTACTTCATTTGTTCCTCAATAAGTGTCTGAAAATGAATGCTGAGTTTCTCAGTATCGATTTGGTAGTGAGTTGATGTTTTAAATTTGATCAAAATCAAGTTATTATATTAAATTAATAAATTTTGTATATCTCCTGTTAGTTGTTCTTTTAAATGCGAATTGCAAGGGAAAATAAAACTTCCGGGTACAGAAGTCAGCTTGCTTTTTTACTTTTAATACATTAATAATTTTTTCCTGTCTTTAAAGGTTTCAAATTTCTGAACCAGAATTTTGCTTTATATTTAAGTGTTCTTTGTCTCTAACAAATTAATAAATCAAAACTAAAATGCATTGAGAGTTAATTACACTTTATTTATTTATTTAGTTTAACACATTATTGGTATGAATGCTAATTCTCTGCTGGGCAAGCTCCAATTTGTGGCTCGTTGACATAAGCTGGGAAATAAAAAGTAATTTCAATATAAATATATTTGAATATTTGAATATGAATATGAATGAATATTTATTCTCACCTTCGGCATTTCGGCAGGCATATAGATCCAGAAGGCATCGGCTTCGGAAGGTTCGGCTCCTTCCGCCATTAACTCCGTTGCTGTCCGTGAAGGGAAACCAGCCACATACCGGCGGACCTCCGCGAGAACACATCCTGGGGCAGGACTCCATGCACTTCTCCTTGGTAGTGGCCACCATAGCTGATGGGTTTTGTTTTTAGTATGCTATTTATATATATTTATATAGTTTCTATATATTTATATAACTTACGTGGCAGGCATTGATTGGCTCTCATACAGTTCTCATTGCCAAAGATGCAGTCGTTCTGGAAAACACGACACACACGGTCCACAACTGCCCAAACCAGGTCCTTATAGTAGGGCGTACACCTGGCACGAAGCATACAATTATTCGAACAATCCGTAGTCTGGGTGTTACTTAGATAAAGTAATCCACTAAATAAAATGGCGAGCATCGACCACTTAGCGACCATGTTGAGATAGATGAGAATAGGTGACTGAGTCGCTTCCTCTCGGAAACTGATATTTTTATAAAGCCAAAACCACATCAAGCCAAGTGTTTTGAACTTCATCTTCAATGGATAATGTATGAACAGCTGCGAATAATATTTCTTTTATGCCGGCTGTTTAATAAAACAAAAACCAATATTAAGGTATTTACAATGCATACAATTAACGATAACCTCTTGAGCCATCGGGGTACATAATAAATTGTGTTACTTAACTTTCGGCAGCGGTCCCCTGGAGTCAATATATGATCTTTATCACACTTTGGAGTTGTGTTAAATAAAATGCTTTGAGATTCTGTTATTATAATGCAATAAATGAAACAGAAAAGTACGACACTAATAATTTGCATTGCTTTAATCTTGCAGGTCTCAACTGGAATGCAGAGTTTTCTATTCAGTTTGTGCATTGAGATGGAAAAAATAAAATTTAACGCCGACTTAGGGCAGATTTAGAGCAAGAAACAGGCTTGACTTCAGTCGGTCACTTGAATTATATAAGTATGACGCCTGATTTTGACAAACACTCATCTGCTTTGATTGCATTAATCGCATCGGACTTTTGAAAGTCATTGCCTTTGCAGATTTCCGGGTTCGGCTTTCAATTTGAAATTACGAGTAATATCTAATATCTAATAATATCCTGTTAGTTTTTCTTTTTATTAATAAAAGCGAATTGCAAAAGAAAACAAAACTTCCGAGTACAGAAGTCAGCTTGCTCTCTTACTTTAATACATTAATAATTGTTTCCTATGTCTTTAAAGGTCAAATTTCTGAACCAGAATTTTGCTTTATTTTTATTGTCGAAATCTTTTTTGTCTCTAACGAATTAATAAATCAAATCTAAAATGCAATGAGAGTTAATTATACTTTATTTATTTATTTAGTTTAACACATTATTGGTATAAGTGCTAATTCTCTGCTGGGCAAGCTCCAATTTGTGGCTCGTTGACATAAGCTGAAAATAAAAAGTAATTTCAATATAACTATATTTGAATATATTTGAATATATTTATTCTCACCTTCGGCATTTCGGCAGGCATATAGATCCAAAAGGCAGCGGCTTCGGAAGGTTCGGCTCCTTCCGCCATTAACTCCGTTGCTGTCCGTGAAGGGAAACCAGCCACATACCGGCGGACCTCCGCGAGAACACATCCTGGGGCAGGACTCCATGCACTTCTCCTTCTACTACTTCTTTTATGCCGGCTGTTTAATAAAACAAAAACCAATATTAAGGTATTTACAATGCATACAATTAATGATAACCTCTTGAGCCATCGGGGTACATAATAAATTGTGTTACTTAACTTTCGGCAGCGGTCTCCTGGAGTCAATATAAGACCTTTACCACACTTTGGAATTGGGTTACTTATAAAGCTTTGAGATTCGGCTATTATAATGCAATAAATGAAACAGGAAAGTAAGACACCAATAATTTGCATTGTTTTAATTTTGCAGGTCTAGACTGGAATGCAGAGTTTTCTATTCAGTTTGTGCATTGAGATGGAAAAAATTAAAATTTAACGCCGACTTAGGGCAGATTTAGAGCAAGAAACAGGCTTGACTTCAGTCGGTCACTTGAATTATATAAGTATGATGCCTGTTTTTGAAAGAAACTCATCTGCTTTGATTGCATTAATCGCATCGGACTTTTGAAAGTCATTGCCTTTGCAGTACGAGTAATATCTAATATTATATTAAATTAATAAATTTTTTATATATCCTGTTAGTTTTTCTTTTTATTAATAAAAGCGAATTGCAAAAGAAAACAAAACTTCCGAGTACAGAAGTCAGCTTGCTCTCTTACTTTTAATACATTAATAATTTTTTCCTATGTCTTTAAAGGTCAAATTTCTGAACCAGAATTTTCCTTTATTTTTATTGTCGAAATCTTCTTTGTTACTATCGAATTAATAAATCAAATCTAAAATGCAATGAGAGTTAATTATACTTTATTTATTTATTTAGTTTAACACATTATTGGTATAAGTGCTAATACTCAGCTGGGCAAGCTTCAATTTGTGGGTCTTTGACATAAGCTGAAAATAAAAAGTAATTTCAATATAACTATATTTGAATATATTTGAATATATTTATTCTCACCTTCGGCATTTCGGCAGGCATATAGATCCAAAAGGCAGCGGCTTCGGAAGGTTCGGCTCCTTCCGCCATTAACTCCGTTGCTGTCCGTGAAGGGAAACCAGCCACATACCGGCGGACCTCCGCGAGAACACATCCTGGGGCAGGACTCCATGCACTTCTCCTTCTACTACTTCTTTTATGCCGGCTGTTTAATAAAACAAAAACCAATATTAAGGTATTTACAATGCATACAATTAACGATAACCTCTTGAGCCATCGGGGTACATAATAAATTGTGTTACTTAACTTTCGGCAGCGGTCTCCTGGAGTCAATATAAGACCATTACCACACTTTGGAATTGTGTTAATATATTGCTTTGAGATTCTGTTATTATAATGCAATAAATGAAACAGAAAAGTACGACACCAATAATTTGCATTGCTTTAATCTTGCAGGTCTCAACTGGAATGCAGAGTTTTCTATTCAGTTTGTGCATTGAGATGGAAAAAATAAAATTTAACGCCGACTTAGGGCAGATTTAGAGCAAGAAACAGGCTTGACTTCAGTTGGTCACTTGAATTATATAAGTATGACGCCTGATTTTGACAAACACTCATCTGCTTTAATTGCATTAATCGCATCGGACTTTTGAAAGTCATTGCCTTTGCAGATTTCCGGTTTCGGCTTTCAATTCGAAAGTACGAGCAATATCTACGCACATTTTGATTGACTTTGTCTTTGGAAGGTGTATCGATTCGGGGCAAAGAAAACAAGCAGCTGGCAGGTATGTGAACTCCTTGAGTAATAAATCTCTGGCTCTGTCAGCTTGGCGACACCGCATGCGTTAGTGCCAGTGTGCGTATCTCGTTGGCCAACTTCAACGCCCACCCGCCGCTCGGTCTGCTTCGTTTCGGCCAGCTCTGGACTGGCCAAAAGCAAAAAAAAAAAAATAATAATAACATGACAGTCGACAGGTCGCAGCCAAGTGAATGGGAGCCGTGAGTGTTGTTGGATTAAAGCGCCTGGCACTCGAGTAAAAAAAAGATTGAAATAAAAAGTCCCACTTATTCACATTTTCAAAAAAGTAAACCCTTTACTTTTTCTCATTTTCTGATTTGCTTGAGTATAAATTTGAGGAACTTATTAAACAATTTTCTATAAAGTTTTGTAAAACATTATTAAAATATTTTTTTTTCCAGTGGTTAAGCCTAGATTAGTCTCAGGAGGTTAGTTTGACAGTATGCTTTCCATTTTTCAGGCACTTTTTAAAATCTATTTTATAAGGACGTCCAGTTTTTCAGCTGATCAAGCGATAAACGCATTTCTTTGATAATTTGTGGCAGGGATTCTTGGACGAGGTTTGTAAGACTCGAACCCCTTTTCGTTTTTAATGCCATTTCTAAAGGCTTCTTTGATATCTCGTCCCGTTTTGCGATATTTCACAAGAAAGATGACATTGTGGATTTCTTTTATCCGTCTTTTGAGATTGCACGATGTAACATACTCCTCTTTGGGATAAACTATATTGGACTTTGACCATTCATCTTTTTCAGAGCTTAGTTCAGGGGTTAAGTCATTTTCGGGGATAGCATCACTAATGACTTCAGCAATGGACTGACCCAGTGTCAGACTCATGACCGCCAGGAGCATCCACACCCACACCCACGTCCGTGGAGCAGGCATGACCGACTTTCCCTTGGCGCCCCACCGACCTCTTTAGGGAGTTCAAGTGGTTGCCGAATCGATTCGATTTGTGGCAGAAAATGATCGCTGTAAATTGAAATTCAAACATATAATTGTTAACCCGGGCAGCACGTTTTCCATTCGGACTCTGCAGCCATTTAAGGTGATCCCAGAGTGAATGAAGGTTACAGCGGTTAACCAGTTTTGAACGGTGGGTGTGGAATATTTTGGATTGTCTCGCCACTTCATAGGCGCATGATCGATGGCTCCCGATAAGGGCAGTATGTAATTCGAGTCTGAATGCAATTTATTTTCGTACTATATAAATTTAATGAGAATTTCACAGCTGTTGTTTATTTAAAACCTGTCAATGGCAGGGCATCCCCGGCTGGATTGGCCTATAAAAGCGCATCTGAATGACACAAATCACAGAAATCAATCAGAATTTACCCGAAAATGAACTCTTTTTTTGTCACTTTAATCTTGTTTCTCCTTTCGATTCAAATCGAGGCACAAGGAAGGGAAAGGTGTCCTGAATTCTGTCCTGCAGTTTACATGCCCGTCTGCGGAAAGACAAATATAGATGGAGAATATGTAAAATGCGAATTTGGCAATGGCTGCATGATGGGTGTCAGTTCGTGTCGGAATAGCTTAAGTAAGTAACTAATTTGCTTAATATTTTATATATTTAAAATTAATTTATGTAAATATAAATTAATTCAGACTGGAACCAGGCGCCCTTAAAGGAATGTCGCCAACCTTCTACCATCTGCAGTCGGCTTCGCTGAGCTAAAAATATACATTCTTTTGGCAAATAAACAAGGCTTTTTATGGGTACACTTGTGACGTAAATAATCCTGACAAATATTGACGGCTATCTAAGTGTGTAAATATATGCTTTTGCGTAATTTTTGGTTTGTTCTAAAAGGAATGGATTTAATAAACATGGTTTTATTTACTTAAACTTAAAAATTATTTATTTTTAATATAGTTTGATTTCTGCATTCAGTTAAATATGTTTTTAGGTTCTTAATAATTTAACTGTTTAGTAAGTGGGCTTATTTCCTGTATATTTTTTTAATGAATTAGCTTAAAAAATTCTTCAAGTTTAGCCTACATATATTCTTTAATAAAAACAAATAGAACCCAATATAATGGCAATACTTAGTAAAAAAAGAAAATAAATTTATGTGACTTATATTTGGGATGGGACTTTATTTGATCAACGTGCCCGACTTCACCTAAATAGTATTTGAACACGATTATGCGACGGTGATCTATTTTTAAGCTAAACCTGCATAAGCTTAGTTGCTATTTACTTATCATCTGACGCTTCTTAGGGAAATTTAAACTTTCCCACAGCTGTTTTCGCTAGTGACCTTGACTAAAGCAAAATTCTGACACTTCTGGCTGATATAAAACCGATTCACGCAGAATCTCGAGGGTTAGTGTCTACCGAAAGTCTTTCTAATTCGGCTAAAATGCGCTGCAGGGTTCTAGTGCTGTGTGCCGTAATTTGTCTCTTTGTCCTTTTGGTCGAGGGAAGGCAGAGAAAAGTTAATAGATCGGCAGCCAGAACCGAGGCAAAGGAATCCAGATCCTTGGGCGTTCAAAATAGACACCGCAATATACGCAGGTCTAATAATAATAATGCTCGCCAGGGAAATAGACTGTCTGCCAGATCAAATAATCAAAAGAGACGACGGCTAAATGCGGCCAAGAGAAACAAAAGGAGCCGTAATTTGGCCAAGAAATCCAATCGGAAACACAAATCCACATCGAGTGTTAGCAGTGGCTCAAGCTATGCCACAATACCCCTGGACTTTAAGCCGAACTTTGTGCGAACCACCGACAATCTGCGGGCGGACAAGGCTTTTGTGGCCAATCGCTATGGCGGCAGTTTTGCCAAGTCCTCTGGAACCGCTCGGCTGACCAACACGGGCAACATGGAGTACACATGCAAAATGACCGCCGGAACACCCAAGCAAACATTCACGGTTCTGCCCGACACCGGAAGCTCAAATATTTGGCTTCCAGGACCACATTGCAATAGCAAGGCCTGCAGAAATCACAATCGATATCGACCAGGAAAGTCCAGCACTTTCGTAAAGATGGGCACAAAGTTTGCCATAGAATATGGTTCAGGTGCTGTGCAAGGGGTCCTGGCCAAGGACAGGGTGGGAGTAGCTGGACTTTCGGTGGCCAATCAGACCTTTGCAATGACCACCAAGGAGCCGGGCTCCACGTTCGTTGACGCCCTCTTCGATGGCATTCTGGGCCTTGGCTATCAGTCCATATCCGTGGATAATGTCAGGACTCTGGTGCAGAATATGTGCTCGCAGAGTGTGATTAGCACGTGCAAGTTTGCCATTTGCATGAAGGGTGGCGGCAGCTCCACTCGCGGCGGAGTCATCATTTTTGGTAGCACCGATACTAGTACCTACACAGGATCGAATAGCTATAGCTACACTCCGGTGACCAGGAAGGGCTACTGGCAGTTCGCCCTGGAGGCCTTCTATGTGGGCAGCACCAGGGTCAGCGGCACCTCGCAGGCGATCGTGGACTCTGGCACCTCCCTGATCGCAGCTCCTTGTGCCATCTACCATAGGATTAACAAGATCATTGGCTGCACCGAGACCTCCAGCGGAGAGTGCTGGATGAAGTGCTCGAGGGCAATCCCGGACTTCACCTTTGTCATCAACGGCAAGAAGTTTGTTATCCCGGGCAACAAGATGAAGATGCGAGTGCGAACTAATAAGGGGAACACCGTCTGCATATCGGTGGTGTCCTGTATGGATACCGATTTCTGGATCCTGGGTGATCCCTACATGAGGAACTACTGCACTGTGTTCGATATGTCTAACAACAGGATTGGATTCGCCAGCTCCACATAAATTTTTTAATGTTTAAGAACTCTGATCTCTCAATAAAGGATCCGCAATGTATCAAAATGTCTTCGCTTCTAATTTGATCAATTGAAGTCATTTATTTATTAAAAAGATTTAAAAATAATGAATTATTTGAGCTTTACAGTCAGTTTGTAGAGCTATAAGCTAACCAGTTTTTGACCCAACCACTTGACTAATTACGCTGAACAGCTGTGCAGTTATATGAGCACCATTTCAGATGCAATTCCAAAATAGAAGAGAGCTTAGTTCTCAAAGTAAGCTCGTTGAATATGCTTCGAAAGGTGTTTTTGTTACTCGCGGCTTTAGACCAAACCTTAGGCAGTGGGAAGCTTTTAAGAGTGCCACTCCATTCCAGGATTAATCCAAACAAAAGTGAGCTATTCCTGCCTAGAAATATAACAGACGGCAACGAAAGACTTCGGGTGGCACTTAAATCTCGACAAAATGTCGAATATTTCGGCAACATTTCGATGGGAACACCAGAGCAACATTTTACTGTGATCTTTGACACGGGTTCCTCGAACACCTGGCTGCCCTCCACGAATTGTCCCAAGAGCAATGCGGCTTGCCAGCGCCACAGGCAGTACAACTCATCCAGCTCTAGTAGCCATGTCCAGGATGGACGTAATTTCACATTGTGGTATGGATCTGGCAGTGTCCTTGGCTACTTATCAAGGGACACCCTTCACTTTGCCGGCGTTGATGTACCCGATGTGGTCTTTGGCGAGGTAGTGTTCCAGCAACAGACGGTCTTCAATGCCGTCAGTTTCGATGGATTAGTTGGCTTGAGCCTGGGGAGGTTGGCCTGGAGAAATACGACGCCTTTCCTGAAACTGCTTTGCACCCAGGGATTCATTGCGGAGTGCATTTTCTCCGTATACCTGCGCCGTGGTCCGGGAAAGTCTCCCAGTGGGGAGATACTGATTGGTGGCATCGACAAGTCCCTGTTTGAAGGACAGCTCCACTATGTGCCAATTATACTGTCGCACTCTTGGATGGTAGAGATAGAGCAGACTGTTGCGGGAAGTACAAAAATTGGTGACGAAGCGGGTGCCATTTTGGATACGGGCACATCTCTAGTCTTGATGCCCCTGAAAACATACTATAAATTCCTGGAAAGCGTGCCAGTCTTGCTTGGGAATGATAACTATATCAGCTGCAAGTTGAAATCTCTCCCGATAATCTATCTGCACATCGGCGGCAAGGTATTTCCCCTCACACCCGCCGACTATTTGGTGGAAATGGTGAGAGGCCACGAAAAGATCTGTATTTTGGCCGTGGCTCCTGTTAAAATGGACTTCTGGGTGCTCGGTGATGTTTTCCTGTGGCGATACTACACTGTTTATGATGCCACCGCCAATAGAATTGGATTGGCCAAGGCGGTGAGATGAGCTGGATAAACATTTATGTTACATGGACTTGATGGATATGTATTGTAATTATAATAATCTGAGACTATAATTGGATTTAACGAAAATTTAGAAGCAAAGAAACCGTGCAATACTTATTTGTGCAGGTTTGAGGAGCTTTCTTTCTTAAAATCATTGTTAAATCCCCTTTCATATATTCGGATTTAAAAATGGAACAAAATAATAAAAGAATATTTCAATGCTTTAGGCTTATTAGTAATAATAATTATAATAAACAAATAATGTTTTTAAACTATTAATAATACCTTAAATTACTTTTAGTCAAATTACAATTTAATGAACATTTTAATTGTGGAATTTCTGTATCCTGAATTTCAATACAAATTCATATAGTTATCAGAAAATCTTTCTCAGTGTTCGCACGATTTAAATTGGTAATTGCCAGTTGCTTTGTTTATTCAATTAAATGTGCTCGCCCTATTTATCTCCTATTTACCACAAACAACTGCCGAATTAGCCAATTTCATTTGAATGCCAGACGAATTTGGCCATTAAATTGCTCTATAAAACAATCGCCGCCGGAATCCCCGGCTATTAGTTGAAGAGGAATTTACAAACGGTTCGGATCGGTTAGTCAACTATGAACTGTCGGCTTTGGCTTCTGGCCCTGTGGATCTGGACAGAATGTCAGGGTCAAGTGATCCGCATTCCCATGCAGTTTCAGACCTCATTCATGGCCAGTCGGCGTCAACATCGTGCTGGGAGAACGTCACTCTTGGCCAAGTACAATGTGATTGGTGGTGGACCGGAGACGGTTTCGCGGAATAGTGGAGCCACCGAAACGCTGGATAATCGCTTAAATTTGGAGTACGCTGGCCCGGTTAGCATTGGCACTCCGGGTCAGCCCTTTAATATGCTCTTCGACACGGGATCCGCCAACCTTTGGGTACCGAGTGCCGAGTGCTCCGCCAAGAACTTGGCCTGCCAGCATCATCATCGCTACAACTCGAGTGCCTCGAGGAGTTATGTTCCGGATGGTAGAAGATTCGCTATAGCCTATGGCACTGGCAGCTTGTCGGGAAGACTGGCGCAGGACACCGTTGCCATCGGTCAGCTGGTGGTGCGGAATCAAACCTTTGGCATGGCGATGCACGAGCCGGGTTCCACGTTCGTGGACACCAACTTTGCTGGGATCGTGGGACTGGGATTCAGGGAAATAGCCGAGGAGCAGATTACACCGCTCTTTGAGAGCATGTGCGAACAGCGCCTGGTTAGGGAGTGTGTGTTCTCGTTCTACCTAAAACGCAATGGCAGCGAACGGAAGGGAGGGAATTGCTGTTCGGCGGCGTGGATGCCACCAAGTTCTCGGGATCCCTGACCTTCGTGCCCCTCACCCGTGTCGGCTACTGGCAATTCCTCCTGGACGGTGTGGAAATCGGTGGCCAGGTTATCAGTCAACATCGCCAGGCCATTGCGGATACAGGTACCTCTCTGCTGGCAGCTCCGCCCAGGGAATACTTGATTATAAACAGCCTCCTTGGCGGATTGCCCACTGCGAATAACGAGTACCTCTTGAACTGTTCCGAGCTGGACAAGCTGCCCGAGATAGTGTTCATCATTGGTGGCCAGCGGTTCGTCTTACAGCCCAGGGACTACGTGATGAGGGCCACCGACGACGATGGCACTAACGTCTGCCTGTCCGCCTTTACCCTGATGGATACGGAGTTCTGGATACTGGGGGACGTGTTCATCGGACGCTATTACACCGCCTTTGATGTGGGCCAACGGAAAATTGGATTTGCTCAGTCCGTATAGTTTTAAAGTGCCGCCAATGAGCTAACACATCTGTTTTATTTAACGACTTAACTTGGTCATAAAACCTGGCCGTAGAGAAGTCAGGAGAGTTGGTCGCAGAGAGAGGAGAGCATCGGCTTGGAACCCGTTTGTGGAGAACAAATTCAACAGCTGACCGACTCACGTTCAGGTTCGACGAGCCCATCGAATATATTATATATTTGTTACCTTAGTTACTCACTAACTTTTAGGGTATATTCGTTTCTATCAATAAATACATCTGTGTTAAAATAAGTGCATTAAAATTGATTATAGGATCCCTTGCCTTTCTAATATCTTGCTTAGTAAATTACTTATATGACTTACGACTTTGTTTTGATAAAAATTCTCCGAATATAAGTATCCCTTGTCTATCAGCTTAAAATCAAGTAAGTGTTAATTAGCGAACACAACAATACGGAAAAAATCCCCTTATCTAGCTAGCTTGTGGCGTTGCTTTAAATACGTATTTATTCACATCGATTAAAATCACATAGAAATCATATAAAAAAGGCAACACGCTGTTCACCGGCTTAGTTGTAGAAATACATTCAATATGAAATCGTTTTTCGGCCTGTGCCTGCTTCTGGGTCTGGCTTTAAGCCAAGTTAGCGGAAGTTGTCCCGAAAGCTGTCCTGACACGGAGGAAGTAGTCTGGGCATTGGATGGCGGTAGATGCTCTGTTTTTCGCAATAAGTGTTATTTTGATCAGACAAACTGCACAAAAGAGACAGGTTTGATTATTTAATTTTATTAATTAGCATTGCAGTTAATAAGTTTTGTAAAAATTTATAGGAGAACAGCTGACAGTTACCACCAAGGAGGAGTGCCAGCCCAAGTGTGCATCTATCTGCACCGCGATTTTCCAACCCGTAAGTGGAACTTATAGGGGAAAAACCCGACAGTTTGGAAATGCATGCAGCAAACAAGCCCATGCTTGCACCACCGGAGAGAGTAAGTAGAAATTTATCTAAAAATTTTATAGATTTTAAAAGTTTTCATTTTTTACAGCTTATTTGTAAGCCGGAGGATAGCAGAATTATGAATAAATGGATTAAAACATTATTAGAAAACATTAAAAATGTTCTTGAATTTAATATTTGGGTTCTTCTTGGTTGGGAGTCAATTAAAATATATACAAATATATACAAAGTATGCATACATCGAAACTATTATGAATAAAATTAATTGAACTCAGGTACTATTTAAAATAAAAAACTACTTCTTTTGTAGTTTGAACATTGATATTATTAAGTATTTTCTAAGTAAAGTTATTATCAAATAATAAAAAATGATCTATATATTCAAAATTATTTATGTACTTAATATATGTAGTCATATATTCATATACATATATGTATATTTATCTATGATTTGTCGGTTTGAAAATATAAATGCTTTATCAATTAAAAGATTCGCTTTGCAACACAATTAAAGTAAAATAAATGTAGTTTGTGGGCATTTTGTGTACTTTAAATAGTTTACATTTTTAAATTTATAATATTACAAATATTTATAAAATAACCTGATTTTCTCTTATTTAGCAAATAAATGTATTTGTTTTTTGAGTCTGCCTCTAATAAACCGCTTACATAATATTCCGCAAACTGGTAAGAAATCAATGTTTTCAATTAACAAATATATTTTGGTCGCTTTACGAATAATTTAAATTTGTGAAAGCAACAGCTGATCAAGCTAGGAAATGTTCAGAGAATAAATTAAAAATATTTAATTTGCTGATACCTAGTAATTAAAAGGGTATATTTGATAGCATTTAAATTGTCTTAAATCTCTTCATTGTTTTCCGATTCTAACCTTTAAAATATTTTATAAATATATGAAATATAATTAAAATAAGTGCAACTTTGTTTTATTTGCATTTATGACAATTAATTATTATAAATATATATTATTTATATATTTATACCAGCACAGGTACAGATAATAGGTACTTATTAGGCGTTGACTGTGTGTTGTTTGATGTGTAAATTAGTTAAAACAATAATTCGGAAAAAAATCCCCAACATCTGTATTGTGAGACGTGACACTTCTGCATATATATTTCCTATTATTGAGATTTCCGAAGATCCGCCCCCATCGAAACCACGTATAAAAGGCCGTCGAACAAAACACCTGTTCAGTTCATCGTGAAGCTTAGCATTTAATACAAAGATCTTCAATATGAAATCGTATCTCGCCATTTGCCTGCTACTCGGCCTCGCTCTTAGCCACGTTAGTGCAAACTGCTCGAGAGATTGTCCAGATACTGAGGATGTTGTTTGGGCCCTTGGAGGAGGATGCAATGTCTTCCGGAACAAGTGCTTCTTCGATAAGGAGAATTGTCACCGCAAGCCAGGTAAGATATAATAGAATTTATATATAATAACTTGCTATAAGTTTATTATATAATCGAACATGTGCGTTTGCAGCGCTGAAGATCACAACCAAGGAGGAGTGCCAGAAGCTCTGTGCGGATGCTTGTCCACAGGTGTACCAGCCCACAGGTGGAATCTATAAGGGTCAGCTCCGGAGCTTCGGAAATGAGTGCGAAAAGATTGCTCACACCTGTCGGACTGGCGAGAGTAAGTGTAATTTAAATGAATTAAGCAATTATTTAATTATATTCTCTTGATTTCACAGCTTTTTTGTAAACCGGGAGACTTATCAGAGAGATTTCATAATAAAGTGATATATACCTAATTTAATTATTGGAATTTCCCGTCGACAAATTTAAAAGATGTTTTGATAGTTCAGAAATTGTGAAATATGTATTACGTGAAAGCTAAAATAAATAAATTTATTAAAGTAAATAAAGTCATTCGAATATTTATTTTAAAACACGTATTGAAACTAATGAGCTAGCTTTGAAGGTAAAATAGATAGCATTTAATTACTGAAAACCAGACAAAATCAAGTTTAAACTCTCACGCTTCATGACAGCACGTTTGTTTAACGTCAATAAAAGTATATGAAGGATATTTAAGATAAGCTTTTAAATAGTTAATTTAATATAATAATTTGGACTACTAATTAATTAGTTAAACTGATTCTGATAATCGTAGTAATTGTAATAAATTTAAGTTTTTTGTTGAATATTTGATATATGTTATATCTATTGATTCAATGAACACCAAAAGAATAAAACAAATTTAATGCAAATTAAAAAATTCGAGTCTAAATAGACGGCTAAAAATGTCTTACAGTTATAGAAAGGTAATAAAGTGTTTTAGGAATCATGAACATTCATTTTTGAAATCGGTCGTATGAAAAAGCAAATCAAATTTGACTCAGAGGTGGAAATCAGAAATTAATATTTTAACAACAAAACAAAAAAGATTTGACCTAAAATATCATATAAAATATGCCAAATTAAATAGATACATTTGTTACTTTTGTTAAATATATTTTGTTTAATACAAATTATCCGAGAAAAGCAATCATAGGCCACCTTTTAAATGTTTGTCGTGTGCCACTATGAAAACACCTGCACATTTATATGATTCTGAAACTCGTGGCACTGACCAATAAACAAATTATTGGTAAAATAGTTTAGGAGTAATTGAATGCCAAGCCTAAATTATTCACCTTGGTTCGCTAATGAATTATTGAAAAATGTAGATTGGGAACAAGATTATTACTTTAACGTATTGCTAGTTAAGCCTTAATTTTGGAAATATATATCACTATCAATTTATCTGTCTGGATATATTTTATTAAAAAGGTAGTGGACACTTTAAAACGCAAGAAATATTATATATTTTTAATTAAATTTATTTATTTTATTATTATTATTTATTTTATTAAGAAACTTTAGTTAGTTTAGAAGTTTTTATACAGCCAAGACCATCACTACCAAGAAAAAAGGTATGGCCTATATATTTAACAGCTCGCCAAAGGCAATTATATGCTTCAGGTAATACAGGTCGATATAGGGGCTCACACCTGTCTTTCTGGCTAGTGTAGACACACTTAAAAGTAATAAAATAAAATGGTTTACATACATATATTTATTCCACTACAGCTTTTTTTGTAAAGTAAGTGAAATACTTAACATATTTTAAAGTACATGTAAAATATCTGAATTGATTTTGGAAGTCTCTGCGTTTGACCAGTTTTTGGGGATCTACTGTTTAGGTATAAGTCAGGCATTTTGATGTTTTCATTCTCAACCTGTTTCCTAAAAAGTACGCAAATATTTGTGAAATATATATTAAATACAAAACGTTATTAAGCACTTGTATAAATCATGAATTGCTTAACTTGTTTCAGTAAAAACAAATAATTCAAGCTGTTATTTGTTATCTTGAGCTGTGTATATTTTGTTTCTTAATCAAATAAACATAGTAAAAGGTGTGCATTGTATTGATAAGCCTGAGATTATAAGTCACAAATGTTTCAATAGATGATAATGTAAGCACTAAATATTAATTTAATCTAATAAACAAAATAAGCTCATGTATTATTAATAAGTTAAGTTTAATTAGCAATTTGATTTAATAATCTCAAAAGAGTAAATCAAGGAAAATTTAGTATAAATAAGTAAATAACTTAAAACAAAGTCTTTGTAGCATCACCAATAATATTAAAGTACTAAAAGGATGTAAACTTCAGATTAAATGAAAACATTCATATAGATAGGCAGATATATATTTATTTAGAAATATGCCATATGTCCCCTCTAGCACCAGTTAGAAATCAGCTGCGTTTATTATTTATAAAATCTTGTTATAAAACATTCTTTCGTAAACGTGATGAGGGGTTCAGTAAACTCTGATTGACACACGCAAGGTTCAGGGGTCAGAGCTCTAGGTAGAGCAGATAACTGGATTAATGGAACGCCCCAGCTAGTTTAACATACCATATATAATATGTACCATACAGCTTATGATTTACGGCTTGTGTTAGAATATTTATATTTTTTAATTAGTCGCCTACCTGCGATGCCATTGCAGTGCTTATCTTTTAATTAATTTCTAATTGAAATGCTGCTTCTGCCAGGTTTAAAATTTTGGCCACGGCTCTACTGCGCCGTGGGTATAAAATTGTTTACCTTCCCGAGAAGTAACATCAGTTGTGTCCCGAGTAACGAAGCAAATCGTTGTAAAATATCAAAACAAATATGGATCTGCGTTTCGTGATTGCTCTTGGCGTTTTGTTGCCCTTGTCCAGGGATCTATCAATGAGGACATTGCTGAGACCGAAGTGGATATTCCCCAAGCTGGATATCTGCCCGTAGAGGATGCTGTGGAGTCTCATCATGGCCATCATCATGAGCCGGCGGAGGTGGGCCACCATCATCACGGTGGACATCATTACCAGGCCCAGGTGCATCATCACGAGCACGGACCCCATCATCACCTGGAGTCCCATCACCACCTGTCAGAGTCCTATCATCAGCATCACTTGGCTGAGTCGCATCACCACCTCCTGGGATCCCATCACCATCATCTGCAGGCACCGCTCCACTCAATCCATGGTCATCATGGCCATCATGGCCATCACGGACTACATGTGAGCCATTTGCATCACCACCGCAACTGCCATGCCACTATTCACTGCCCCAGGACTCACAGTCCAACCTATGCCACCGATGGCCACTCCTGCTACCATGTGGGAAACGCCTGCGAACTGGCGATCCTCAACTGCCTGCGTCGCAATGAACTGCAGCCGGGTAAGTCGAAACTATCTCAGTTAGTAGCAATATCTTATTTTGGTTCATTTCAGTTCTCCGCCACATTAGCCAGCATGAGTGCCACCATCTGCCCACAGCTCGCAGATCCCATTAACTCACTTTGGAACCCAACTGAACCTGATCCTGACCCTGACTCCAAGTCCACATGGAGATGCTGTTGTGTAAAGCTGAATATGATTTTATAAACAAATTATTATGTATTAAATGCGATTGTTTTATCACTACTTAACGAAAGTCTTTGGTCATTTTTAATTAATGCCTATGGGAATCTCAAAATATATATAATATAAAAAGGAAACTAACTTAGTAGTAACCGATGTTTGTGTACTCTTGCATTATGGAATAAAATCATTAAGAATAGATGAATTTATGTAAATTAAAAAAAGCTATAAGAGATAAAAAAAATAATTCTGATTCTGATTCTTCTAGGCTCTTATATGTAATATAATATGTCACCAATTTTAAATTTTATTTTTAAATAGTTATTTATACATACAAACGAATACGTTAAAATGAAAATGAAACAAACAACGATAGGAAAAAGTATGTTTAGATTTTAAGTGGGATTTGGGAGGTTTTTGAGTAGCGTTTAGGATTCCATGAGTTGCGGATTAATAAGTGTTAAGGATATTTGGAATTTATTTATCTAACAACAATTTTTGAAAATCGGAATTTGGATAATGGAGGATTAAGAATCTGGATTTATAAATTAAAATTTCGGAAAATTTAGAGCAGGAAATCATAGAAAATTTTAAATCCTAGACCATTTTTTTAAGTTTTTCGTATGTGGGCTTGGGGGAAGACTTTTAATGGATTTAGGTGGGACTTAAATAGGTTTTAAGAAGTTGGTGGTTTTTTAAATGGGCTTCTAGTGGAATTCTGTTTATTGGTTTAAATTTCTCGTTTTTTTTTTTTTTTTGTTTTTATATTGGCTGATTCAACTGTAAACTAATTTAATGGTTGGAGTATATTTAAAATTTAAAAAAAAATTAAAACCTGCTTTCGCTGAGAGAAGGACTTAAATTGCTTTAATTACTTGCTTAATTCTGTATATCATATAAGAAGGCAATTTTATAAACGTAATTACTTTAATATAAATAACTAAAACTGGATTGTTTTAGACTATAAATAATAATGTTGTTATAAAAAGCATCAGTATTACCGTAAACAATACTCTGAACAAAACAATGAAATTAAAATTAATTGTAGTATTTTGTGCACTAATCGTCCTTGTTGAAGGATTGAAAATTTTGCCCCAAGTAGAGGACTTGGAGACGGTTGATCAAGGATTACAATTGGTTTTCAAGCCCTTTGGCCCTGCATTTGGTAGAGAAATAGAATCGGAATTAACTGACACCAGCTCTTATGCTCCACGTCGTAAGGATTCAGAAAGGAACCCCACCCATCCTGGATTGATACCTCCTCCGGTGAATCCAACACATCCACCAAGCAAATGCTGTTGGATCTGGTCTTGTGATCCTCCTATGAATTCGCAGTCACATCCTGCAGGACTTATAAGCTGCTTAAGCACTTGATTTATATTGAAATGTTATAATAATACAAAAATATTACAAAAGTACAGAAATCGGTTCTTAATTATTTCATTAAAAATATTGCATTTTCTACTGTTGTCAAAAAATATAAAAAAATAAATAAATTACTGCAGAGTAGAGCAAATCCATGTATGGTTATTATTGTTTTGACCAATTAATGAACAGTCGAGTTTAGCCATGTTTGTCAGTCTCTTCTTACTATTTCAACTGATAGTTCAGATTTTGAGTTATACTAATAAAATTTTACAGATATACGTAAATATGTGGCAGGTGGTATATATTTGGGAACTTGTCAATACAAGGATATTGTAAAGCTGTCATCGGAATAATTGGTAAATGTAAATCATATGTGTTTTTAAAGTTAAAAGTTAATTTTTTTCCCATTTCACTGAAAGGATTCGAGTCTTAATGATTACATTGCAAACTTCGCCGGAACTTTTACTAACCCCTTAATTTGTGGCTTTTTAGCAATACCATGAAGTCATGTTCCAATAATTTCACAATTACCACAATGCTCCACCTCGATAAGAATGAAGAATTGGGTGGAAACACTACATTTGAGTGGTTCTTTTGGCTCAACTTTAGATTTGATAATATATTTATATCAAAACAGTTTCAAGCTCCCAGTTTAAACAACGCCCATTTTTTTTAACCTTTGAAAAGTAAACAACGCACAAGTTTTGTATAACAATTGTTATAATATGCAAAAGTCAGCTATGTGAAAATCGGTTACAGGGAAATGATGATAATCGGGATTTCAATAAGGTTCAATCGTTGCTTAGTTCAAATGGATTTCTAATAAGGTTTCTGGCTGCGAGCCTGGTGAGGATTTGCCTGTCCTTGACGACCTGCCTGGGCACCTCCAGAAGGACGATTGGCGCCTCCGGAGGGACGACTGGCACCGCCTGAAGGACGGTAAGCACCACCGGATGAACGGCGAGCAGCACCGCCTTGGGGACGAGGGCTCTGAGGTCCTCCTGTAGAACCATAGCCGGAGGCGGGACGCTGAGACTGGGGTCCAGCAGCATGTCCACGTGAAATACCGGATACAGCAGCTCCAGATGACACTCCGCCAGAGCTGTGGACTCCAACCTCCGTTTCCTGCTCCACTGGAGAAATATTAGATCCTTGAGCCAGGACGATGAAGGCACTGATGACAAAAATGTAACGGAAAGCCATTTTTCTTTGCTTCTTTGTGATTATTGCACTTGAGACAACTGATGCTTTCTATTGAATTTGTTCAACTTTTATACTTTTAGAATACTGTATTATATTTTTTATAAATTAAGGCACTTAGTCTAAAGAGATTTTATGCCTCATTTTACTTCAGTTCAGTTCTTTATGTTATCGCATACTTTGATCTTTAAACGCTGAGTGTTTTCTCCGGACTTGAGAATCTTCGAAAAGTTTTGTAAGCGACTTTCCGAAATAATTGTATTTCAAGTTTACATTACAAGTAGAACAGAAAATATTAATCTAAAATCTGTGATTAAAGTTCATAAGCCCTTTAAAATATTAATTTAAAATCTGTTATTAAAGTTCGTAAACCTTTTACCTGAACTAAGTCAGTGAACTATGGTTTAATTGTTATTGAAAGTGCATTTACCTCTACGAAATTTGAGATTTTAAATAAGAATTTTCTTTGAAAACAGTTATAATGCTTTTTATATGAATAAATCCTGATATTCCACACTATAAAACCATTCAGATTTCCTGTTGAAAGCATCAGTTTTAGCTGAAGAAATCTCAAGCAAACATATCACAATGGCATTCCGTTACATCTTTGTGATCAGCGCTCTGGTTGTCCTGAGCCAAGGATCTTATCTGTCCTCAGTGGATCAGGAATCTGATGTTGGCGTTCACCAATCTGGAGTAGCTTCGTCTGGAGCTCCAGTTTCTGGCACTCCTCGAGGACATCCTTCTGTGTCTCAACCTCAACGCCCTGCATCGGGCTATGGCTCCACCTCAGGTTCTGTTGCAGGACCCAGACGATCCAGCGGATCCAATGCCGCTAGACCTCGTCCTCATAGTGGTGCTTCTCGTCGATCATCTGGTGGATCCCTAAATCGTCCTTATGCCAGTGCCAATCGTCCTTCGGCCAATCGTCCTTCTGTCAATCGTCCTGCTGGCGGTGCCAACACAGGCCACGGAAATTCTCACCAGATCCATAACCAGAAGCCGTATTAGACCAATAATTCCGTGGAACTCTAGAAAAATATCCTCACACCATTTTACGATCTTAAAATCTTATTTATATCCTCAAAAATACTTTCTGTGTGTCTTGCAAATAAAAGCAATTGTTAAACCAAATATGAGAGTGTTTCAGTAAATGGGTGGCGGGGGCTCGAAGATGTTATTTTATTTATTGACTAAAGACAATTTTTATTAAGTGTACATAAATATATTTTATAATTGTAATATTAGTAAGCAATTAATTAAAGAACGATATTAAACTGCATGAATTCAAAATATTCAGTCCAAATTAAATACTACCACTTTAAGGTTGAATTTTATAAATAATTTGATCTTGGAAAATTGCTTATGTTGTGTAACCCTCTAAAAATTTATTCATCATTTCGTTTAATTTTAGATAAAGTCTTCTTTTTTTATATGTATAAGATTTTGCTTTTGATAAAATATAATTATAAATAAAATAAATAAATAAATAAAAATTTAAAAATCGGTAGATAAAGAATTCATTGCTATTTAAATTTATTTAGTAATGATTTATTTTGATTTTAATTGAATGGATTCAGGATTAATTTATTTTATTGATGACAAAGACGGATCGCCTAAAAACTATATGTAAAATTATGTAGTGACGAATTACATAAGTACAACAAATATGGTTCAATAACTTATACACAATTTTATTTTTTATTTAACTTATTTTCTTTCCTTTGACCTCATAAACTTGCCACGTGCTACGGAGTTCAGTGTACTAAGCTTATATAAAAAGTTCGGAGACCGAATTTCCTTTAAGCGTGCCAAATTAAATCAAGATAGAGTTTTGTTTTATATTAATTGTTAATAATTTTGTATAACTGATTTTGTAAATATTGAAATTATTTAATCCTTAGATTTGACTATAAAAACATTCATTTTCTCTGTTCAAGTCATCAGTCAAGCTTGAATAATCGCAGCAAAATGGTATTCCGATTCATTATAGCCTTCAGTGCCATCCTGATCCTGGGTAACGCAGCGACTATCGGGCGCTCTGACCAGCAAGGGGTGGTTGTCGTCCAGTCTGGAGCTCCTGTTGTCGTCGTTTCTCCAGGACATCAAGCAAGACCCCAACGCCCGACCCAAAACCGTGGCCCACATCCTTTTCCAGTGCGTGGAGTTCATCGTCACCAGGATTCGCCTGTGGCTGTGGTCGTTCCAGTTCCAGTTGCAGTTCCTGTGGCTCCTATCCGCAATCCCCACCGAGATGGATCGGGTCATTCACACCGCCATCAGGGTCGCAATCAAAACCAGAGACCCTTTTAACCTGCAGCAATTCGATTTAAAAACTTAAAACATATATAGTATATTCAGCTCAACCCAAACAAAGCATTACAAGTGGTCATAGAAGATTGTCCAACCAAACCTTGTTAAGCCAAAATAATGCTTAGCAAAAATAAATAAAAAATAATTTTGTGAAATATGTACACGGGTATATAAATTTTGTTCAAGACGCCAGTTCAAAAAGGTTTAAGCTTTAAAAGTCAAAAATTCATAATTGAAAAATAATCACAGAGTGGAAACCCCATATGAATTTGATTTATGAGACAGCCCTAAAAATCTTTTAAGCAATTAAGTCCACATATGTTGTTGTTGTCTCATCTCTCTTGTATAAATACTTGTGTAAAAAAGTAAGTTTCTGGCATCATTCATTTAAATCCTTTACTTGAAATATAAATGGAAACAAATATGGCAGCGCGCTTTATGGTCACTTTAAGTGTCCTTTTCGTCCTAGTGCAAGGATCTCACATTTTAAAAATTGAACCGGAACCTGTCGTAGAAGCCCACCAAGTTGGCAGTGTTACATCGGGTGCACCTATTAAGTTCCCCGAAGTGCGTCCAGCCCCTCAAACTCAATCGTCTGCTGGTCGTTATCGTGGCGGGGCTGGAGCAAATCCAGGTCCTCGTCCTGGCACAGCTCCTCATCCTGGTAAAGCTCCTCGATCTGGAGCAGCTCCTCGATTTGGAACAGCTCCTCACCAACCAGCAAAACCTGAATCTTATAGACCACCCGGTGGATCACACAATCGTCCATTGACAGGTGGTCTGAATACCGCTGGAAACTCACACACGAATCGGAATCATATCCAGAAATCTTTTTCAATACTATAAAATAAATAAACATCAATTCTATCTGCCTCACAACATACATAATACAAATAATGAATGCAAAATAAATTATTATATGTATTTGCAATCCTTAATATATATTTAACATTGGCATGGTGGGTCCAAAATTTAACGTTTAAATTTTGCATTACAGACTACTAGACTCAAGAGATATTTTCATTTAATCTAAAATAAATTCAAGTACTGCTAATAATAAAATTAACAAAATTTGGTATAACTAAAATTATAAATCATAAACGCCTAAATATTAAATTGTTAGTTTACTATATACTTTATATATTTGCTGTGATAGTAAGAAAAACTTATCAAATAAATCCAAAGACTGAATACAATTTAAGCGTTGGTCCCAAAGTGGCTTTAATCTTAACCAATACACTTAGTAGTCTGATCTGGCAATACGCATTGGGCCAACTATTCAAGAAATGTTTAAAACATTAAGTGCTCTCCGTTGATTGCGTTACTTGTGGCAAGCACTCTAATTGGCATATTAACAGGTTCATCGAAGGTGCAATTGCAGTTAAAATTACACACTTTTTCAGAGCGATATGTGTTTATAAGAATACGATTTCGGAAGGTAAATAAAAGAATGTGAAATAAATAGTTTTCTCCCTTCATTTTTCACAATGAGACAATGTCATTTTTAGATTTATATAAAAATTTGTATTATAAGCAGTAATTAAAAAGTTAAGTTACTTTAAAAAACTATGCGAAAGTCAAGGTAGAACCAAGTTAGTTGGGTTTGGGCTAACAGATTTCCTAGTATGGCTTCTGGTTGGGAATGCGGTTCTGGTGACGATTTCCGTGAGCAGCTCCCCCTCCAGTTTGTCGGCCTGCCTGAGCTCCACCAGCAGGACGATTGGCTCCACCCGATGGGCGATTGTATCCACCAGACTGACGCCTAGGAGAACCTCCATGGGGACGAGGACGCTGAGATCCTCCAGGAGGTCCATAGGAACCCCCAAGACCAGAGGCGGGACGCTGAGACTGGGGTCCAGCAGGATGTCCTCGTGAAATACCGCCAACAGCAGCTCCAGATGACACACCGCCAGAGCTATGGACTCCAACCTCTGATTCCTGATCCACAGAGGACAGATAGGATCCTTGGGCCACGACCACCAGGGCACTTATCACGAAGATATACCGGAATGCCATTTTTATGTAAATTAAAGTTGAACAATTAGGTGCTCGATTGCTGAATGAGTTTCAACTGATGTTGCCATTGGAAAAAGGTTTCTTTTTATACCTTAGTGCAGTATGAAATATTTAATTTCATTATTTTATTAATTTCTTAAACTTACCGACAAATAATGCATTTAATTATACTAGCGTCACTCGTGAACTTAAGTTAGACCACATTTGGGTTTCCCCGATCGATCCAGTTGTCATATTTTACAGGTGAGTGACTTCCAGTTTGAACTCATTAGGTATTTTTATATAAATAAAATCTTAATAGTAATCAAATTACAAAACAATTTTATACATCTGGTTGTCATAAGTAGATTAATGGCTCTTATTACAAGCACAAATCAGCATTTTATAGTTACGAGCGCATTTTAAAGTTAGCTAAGCCAAAAACACAGTTTTTTTTAGCCACAAGACGTATTTTTGTATACTTTTTCGGGCAACTCCTCAAGAAATATATGCATAATACATGAACATGGCCAACACAGAAGCCCCCTTTTCATACAATTATGGCTTAACTAACATTACTGGCAGATATCGGTTTAATTGGCATATAGAAGACCTGATTATTCCGGCCATTAGCTTTGCCAAAAGCAGACACCCATTGATGGGGATCACAGGAAGTTGGGCATTTGTGAAATTAGGTTTGAAAATATAGGCTTTTTCGAGAGGAGAGCCTAATAACCGGTAACCTTGCCTTATATGGCTCAGGGTCAGTTTATTATCCATAACAATGATAGCAAATTAGGTTTATGATTGTTTAAGAAATCGCAAAACCAATTGCTTTGATAGCCGGGCAAGCAATAATAATAAAAAATGCGAATTCATGGTGGCAACATTTAATGAAATTACGTAAAATTGTGAAAGAGTATCAACATTTTGGCGATTTCTATAATTTAGAAAGTGTAGCAAAGTGTGTGAACCAATTGCTATGGATTCGAGTACACCTTTTGAAATTATTACTATATTTATTATTATTTGTATCTACTTATCCTTAGTATTTATTAAGAGACTTATGATACTTCATTTGCAACTTATTCGAACTCCATTCCCCTGAAATCATGACTCATTCGCTGTGTTGTCACCAGCTGTGCGATCGGGGTGTTAACACTTTTTATTTATTTATTTATTTTTCGTTTGTTGGGCTGACATGCAAGCGTTGCGGGTTTCCAGTTACTCGATTTAATTTTAATTACATTTTTCGTACACAATTAGCTAACAAATCAATGCGAGAACCGTTATACAAAAAAGAACAAAATGGATAAAAAGCGACAAACACACACACACAAATTGTATATCAACAATTGCTCAATCGCTTCGATCAAATAACAAATAACTTTGTGCCGAATATTGACATTTCGTAAGCATTTGAAAAGTGAACGCAGCGGCAACAACAACTTAAATCCTAAATGCAGTGCGTTGGTAAAAATCTTGAACACGTTAAGAATGCCGGCAAGGTTGTCTGCCGTGGCAGCTGCTGCTGTGGGTCTCCATCTCCATCTCCGTCAGCTTCGGTCTCTCGGTCTGCATCTCGATCCTCCGACTGCGTCTCAATCTCAATCCGAGAGTCTAACTTAATTAAATTGGATTTTATGTGCCGGATTGGATAGACCACTTCGGGCCCCAACGACCGTGGCGAGGTGAGGCTAATCAAATGTCCGAATTGTACACAAAAAATTGAAATGTACATACCTTGAAGTGGAGTAAATAAGACCCTAATACATTGTAAGAAACTTTGGATTTGAAAAGAATTAATAAAAACTAAATAGGTATATTTAAAAGTGAAGTAAAGAGGAGATATTTAGGTGTATAATCAATCTAAAATGAAAATGATATAAGGACTTGAAATACTTACATGTGATATGTATTTTTGTTTATAATAACTGAAATGGTTTTTGTTATGAAATTGATTTTCTGTTTGATTAAGAGAAAAACACCTTTTAAATATTTTATTTATATTATTTATTTATTGCATACTTTAATTATATAACTTTTGACACACGTTTATACTAAATTTATATATGATACAGCATTTATAACCAATATTTACTAAGAGTTCACTCTTTTTCTGCAAGTGTAAATGCGTTTACCATTCATGTGAGCCAAAGTAATGAGCTTTTTGTCGGCTACACGACTTCATGCCTCTATTATGATGTACATGGCTATCGCCCGGCGATAAATATCAATTAAGACTCCGTCAAATGGCTCAATGGCAGCAAGAAAAATGGTAAACTAATACCGCAGACATGCTAATGTTTTGCTCTACATTGAGGCTATGCGTAAACAAAAATGTCACACGCCATTAAAAATTAATAGCATGTTTAAATAAGCAAAATTCGAAAAAAACCAACTAAGTTTAAATTAGAGAAAAAGGAGTCAGACATTCGAGGCAGTCAAACCGGGTCGCTAATAAAAAATTTGGTGTTTAATGCTCAAAAACAACAACAACAAATAGCCAACGTCAACCCCGAACAAAAATTGAGTTAAATAAAAAGAACAAAAACGTGGCACGAACAACTTTTCAAAAAATGCGTGGTACATTGTTAATACCGCCGTTGTTGCTGTTTTTTATTACTGACGCTGCCCCTGCCGCTGCTGCTGCTGCCGCTGCTGTGGTCCAAAATTGTTGCACAACATTCGTGCGTTCATGCAAAGCAATTGTCAAATGCAACAAAGCCCCAAGCCAAAGGCCACAAAATCGATATGGATTCGACTGAGCGCAGCCAGCTTCACCGCAAGAAAAAGCCCAATCCATTTGGCGCTGCTTAGGCCAAATTAATTTCAACTGCCTTGCATTTTGACGTTTTCTGGCCGCACTCTTGGTCCACGCTCATTATTATTAGGCCGCCTTTTGCAGTATTTTATTATTGTAGCCTCCCGCCGAATTTTGAGTTATGCCGGAGGCTTGCCCGCCCGATTTGTGTGTGCGGTTTGACAAATTAAATTAATTGGCTCCAACTGATATGCCGCAGCTCGGACGAGGCTCTAAGAGATATTGGTCCGCCGGAGGTGCAGCCCCGCGCTTGGCAAATTGAAAAAATACGAGTGCTAAAAGATCCGACAGCAGATTGAGATTTTATTTGTACATGGGCACGGATGATTGCTGATAGCGCTGAAGGAGTTGGGCCCAGCCGTCACTAAATAATTATTGAGTCTTTAGTTACACAAATATTGTGAGACTCCTTCTCCTCCCACTGCGGGGGAGTGTTTGGATATCATCAGGATTTATAAATTTACTCTTTGGAATGACAAAACCTTGTTAGCATGAAATCATTGTCTTTAACGTACATTTATATTCCTAATTCGTGGAATCTGAATAATAAAATATGTACTTACATCATAAGGGTGCTAAATAAGTACAAAAATCAATAAAATAATAAACACAAGTTGCACAATCTTATTTATTATTTCATTTAAATTATTCTAATAAATCTTGTGCTCGTAAAACATGTATTTTAAAAACCTTGAACTTTAAGAGTATTTTGTTTTTGCCATTAATTATACTTTGCTTATTATAATATATTTTTTAATTAAAAGCAAAGTTATTTGTTTACTAACTTCTCATTTAAAATGTCAGCCGGTAGACTGAATGTCAAATGACTTAAGCTGCGAACTTCACAGAACCATTTCAACAGGAAATACATCAATAAATAAGGTATTTAAACTTTGATTAATGTAACTGGTTTCTCTTAACTATATATAATACCATTTAAGGAAATAATTTTTACAAGTTAAAGTCGGTTTAAGAGCAAATAATGAGAAAATTTAATTTAGTTAATTAATTATTTGAAATACTTTCATAAGCGCATAACGAGCTGTTCGATTAACCGATAAATCAAAAGACTTAAGCCACGAACTGCACCCTACAAATTTCACCACTCGGCGATGCCGACTTCACCACACAACAAAGCGCGCGCAACCCGGACTCGATTTCACTCAAACTTTCACTCAAAACGATGTCGCTGCTTCGAGTCGAGTCGCACTAAGCCAAGCTTCAGTCTTCGGCTTGGGGCGTCCGTTTTTTTTTTCGTTCTTTTTATTTTTTGTTTGTATTTATTTGTTTTTTGTTGCTGCTGCCGCCGGCACTTGGCAGCTGATAACCGAAGTCGACGCCATCGTCGACAGCGCTGCTTGGCGGGCCGGCTTCGTTTGTTTGCTTCTTTTTTTTGTTTTTGGTTTTTCTGTGGCAGCATCGGCTGGCGGAGCTCAGTTAATTGTTGGACACACTCCGTGGCGGTTGTGCAGGCGGAAAATAGCGACTCAGAGGCGCTCACGGCTAACGGTAATCCCAACACCAAGTGCATATTAAGTGTGTGCGCGGCATATTGTGTGTGAGTGTGCAGGAAAGCAAGTGTGTAAAGGGTGAAATTTAAGCCCGATAGTAAGAGTGTCCCGCATCAACGACAGGTGCTCGATAATTGTCGCATTCTGGCACAAAAAAAATAAAATAAATAAACAAAAGACTCTGGCAACGAACTCGGTGAACTCTTCGCGACAGTACAAAAATAATTAAGGCCAACTTATCGCAGACGTTGTCGCATCGTCGGCCATAATTGGATTAATTCACAGCTCTTGGTCGCCAAATAATAAAACCGAGCCAAACGGAGCCATATAAGCAGCTGAAAACGCATTTAAAGAAGTCATTAACAGCAACGACGGCCAACGGCCAAGTGGCAACGTGCAACGTCAACAAAATGATCTTAAGGTATGTATGTACGAACGCTGGCTATTTCTTAATGAGCCGTACTCTCGGTTTGGTACACATATTTCCAGTTAATTTCCTGTGTGTGGCAAGTGATCGGTCTAATCGTCTCAAAAATGTCTAGACCAACTTTGGCGACTGGTTCTAGCCATAATCTTCATCGTTTTTATGTAATTTTTACGTGTCCGTCGTTCGGTTATGACGGCTTTCTGTTAACATTTCTCCGACATTCTCGCTCTGTTCTTCTCCCTCTTCAATGTGTGTGTATTTTTGTGTCTTGTGTTTGATTTGGCTGGAAAGTTCTGAA